CACACACACACACACAAATATCAATACATACAATAAATAAAATTAATGAAAATAAAACCAGTAACACTGAGAAGATAAACTTAAGGGAGAGCATGCTATTCACATACTCTAGATACTGTCTACAGAACTCACCTCCTTGATAAGCTTCTAAAAACCTTATCTCTCAGCCGGGCGGTGGTGGCGCATGCCTTTAATCCCGGCACTTGGGAGGCAGAGGCAGGCGGATCTCTGTGAGTTCGAGACCAGCCTGGTCTACAAGAGCTAGTTCCAGGACAGGCTCCAAAACCACAGAGAAACCCTGTCTCGAAAAACCAAAAAAAAAAAAAAAAAAAAAAAAAAAAACTCTCAGACACCTTTTTGGTTGCATTGCCAGCAGTCTGTTTTCATTCAAACACCATTACTTCTGTAAGACAGTAGAGAGCAATGGCAAGATTGACCCATTGTTTTCTCTTTTGCTGTGACTATGGAGCAATGCACAGAGGAGGGATTGGCTAGGTCCAGACAACTCTTCTATTGACATTTCGTTACTTTTATGCAAATGTCCCAAACTTTAAAGAACTTAGGTCAGAGAAAACTAAACTTCATTAAGTTCGCCTACTCACTAAAAGTGTCTCTAGGTGAATGGTAAGTGTGTTACTATAAATGTAGTAAATGAATAAGATTACATGCAGTTGAGTTACATTCAGTTCAGCCAGTGTTACCTAAGTGCCTACTGCTGAGACTATCAGAGTGCAATACTTTGTCCGGACTCTCTTCCAACCACCAACCCCCTGTCTATAAATGTCCTGAACTCTCTCCTGCCAACTCAATCCCCTTCTTTTCCTCCAATCCGAAAAGAAAGACCCTCATTCTCTAAAAGCTTTTTTAGCTTAATCCCACCTGGCTCTATTCACGGTTTAAACCTTTTGGGGTGTGAAATGAGCTACGGGGCCAGGCTGCAGTATTTGCAGCATACATTATTATTCCTCCAGCTTTAGTGTGTCTAAAGGCTTAAAACATCTCTACCTAAGCTCTGGCTGCAGGCGAGAATCCTTATCTCAGCAAATGCAGTCTGAGTAGCAAGACAAAGGAGAGGCAACCTAAGCAGGGCCTGAGAAGAGAGGCTGAAGACTGAATACCATCCAAGCAGCCTGGGGATAGCCCTTTTTCTCCCCCTAGAATCTTTTGTATTTTTATAATTCATCAATGACCTAAAAAGTGTTAATGTTTACATGTATATGCTTCTCTTCTCGCATAGAATAGACTTCTGCAAGTCAGAAGAGCCCTTTATGGGAATATAAGCCATAGAAATAATAAGAATAGCTTAGAAATAGGTTGCTGGGAGAAACTAATATGTAAATAAGGTAAAACTGTATGGTATGATACTAAATATCTAATCTTTCCAGACAGTTGTAGAGGTGGGCACTGGAGTTATCAAAATCCGTAGGTCTGGAAATCATCATAAAAATTTAATTGATTGTAATCATCTTGATTCCATTCATACCAATTAGGAGAACTTTCTCAAAAATAAGTGTCAACATGTTATAGAATATTTGTACACTGTGTGAAGATACAGCTGTGATTGGCTTAATAAAGAGCTAAACAGCGAATTGATAGGCAGAAAGTCTAGGTGGAACCTCCAGATAAAGAGAGGAAGCAGTAGCAGATAATTGAGGTGCAGGGGCGATGACAACAAGACATAGATAGAGCTGGACATACAGAAATAAAGATTAGAAGCCACAAGGTAAAAGGCAGATTAATAGAAATGGGTTAATTTAAATTACAAGAGCTAGTTAGGAACAATCCTAAGCTATAGGCTGAGCTTTCATAATTAATAATAAGTCTCCAGTTCATTTGGGAGCTGGCTGGTGGGACAGAAAAAGACTCATTACAATGGCATCACAAAGGATTGTTAATATTTTATTTTTCATTTATTGATTACTGTTTTGACCATTATTAATAGTTTCTCTTAAACTTTTGCTATTGTGAATCAAACTACAATTCTTTTAGGTTTCTGATGTGGAGCTCAAACATGGAATTTTACTTATGTGACTATTTTGATAGATTTTGTTGTAAAGGTATATCGTTTTCTAGCAAACCAGCGACGGTAAGATGCTGCACCCCTGTAATCCTAGCTCACAAGACTGAAACAGGAGTATTGAAAGTCCAAGGTTACCTCGGGATGTATAATAAAACTAACATCAGTCTGGGATGCGTAGCAAGCCTCAGTCAATATAGCTACATAATTAAGTGCAGTCTGTTTCATTGTTTAATTTTCACCTGAATCACATAGAAAAGAAAATGCGTCTTTTTTTCCATGTGAATATATCTCCAGTTGATCTCGGGGCAGCACCAACATCACCATGGAACATTGTTTTTGATTCCCAAGGGGAGAACATCTGTCCATTATTCTTAAAGGTCATCCTCTAGCTTTCTTTTCCTTTAGAACCCATGTGGTAAAGTCATTATGCAGAGTCCAACCATATGTCACCAACAGTAGATACATGATAAAGAGGATAGGTTAAGATATTTATAAGATATATATAAAAATCATGAGTCAATATTTTCTATTTTACTTACCTTTCCATAGATATTGATAGGTCCTGAAGGATCTATCTTAAAGAAATTTCAAAGGAACAGGAAAAGAGCAAGGAAATTGAGTTGTCTAAAAATCTACATATCTGCAATCATACATTTTAATGTAGACGTCGTGATGGTGTTCTCCATTTTCTGCATGAAAGCAGATTCAAATAGCTGGAAATCAAGATGAAAGCATTGAGACAAAGCCTTGTACAACTCTCATAAACAGTGCTTGTATTTCAGCCTGACCCTCTTCCCGTTCTGTAGCAGACACTAGAATCATTTGATGAGCTGGTTACAGCAGCGCGCGCTAGGCCTGCACCCCAACTTCCTGATCCCATAGGTCTAAAGCAGTTCTGGGTCATTAACATTTTCTGGAGTGACAGCTGCTGATGTTGACAAAGCGCCCTGTGAAAGTCTGCTGGAAAACAAGAGACTTAGTAAATTTCTTGGAAGAACGCTCAAAGGTGGTAGACCTTCAGCAGAATGAGAAACTCTTAACAATGAGTAAACACAAGGAAAAAAACGCTGTCTGGAGGGAGATTAGAGAGCAATTATCACCATGGACTTTACCCTCACAGCATAGAAGTGTACTAATCAGTTCCAGTTGTCTGAAGCCTGCAGCCAGCAGGAAAAAACAAAGCCTCTTCTCATTCAGGAGGCCTAGCATTTTAAATTCATTTGATGACTTCTACCAAAAAGGACATGCTGAAAAATTCAGAGCTCTTGATCTACATTCTCTTCTCACATGAATGTGTCAGTCTTCACCTAGAACTACGTTACATTATTAAAGTTGTTAGGACTAGAACACCCTTAGAATTCTATATCCACCTCTACCTTTTTTAAATTAATTTTTATTGAACTCTACATTTTTCTCTGCTCCCTTGTCTGCCTCTACCTTTTTTTAAAAAAAAAAATCTAAATTGCAGCAAATGCATGTGCATATGGCTACCTAAGTAAAGTAATTCTTCTGCTCATGTGGTATGAGGAGATAGTTTAACCTCCAAAAATAACAATAGCAAATGCTTCTCTTTGTTTTGCTAAATCGATTTGGGATTTTATTAAAGGAATATTAGTGGCTTTGTGTTCTTTCATTAAGTTTATCTGCTTTTTAAAAGAAAGTGTAATATACCAAATTCTGGGGCATTAGAGAGAGCCTCTATTCAGTGGCTGGAAAATGCCAAATAAATGTTCAGGCTATGGTAAACTCTGGAAGAAGGAGGAGTTGCCCTATGAATATTTTTCCTTTTCATTGATTATGTGAATATTAACTGTTCCATGCACATTCCCTGTGCATCCAAACACACTGTGGCTGTTAGGTATTATTTTAGGGAGACACTGAATATTCTAGTGAGGCAACAGCAGACCCAACATGGCATTTCAAAAGGCTAAGAACTAGCCAGGCAGTGGTGGTACAGGCCTTTAATTCCAGCACTCGGGAGGCAGAGGCAGGCGGATCTCTGTGAGTTCGAGGCCAGCCTGGTCTACAAGAGCTAGTTCCAAGACAGGAACCAAAAGCTACGGAGAAACCCTGTCTCGAAAAATCAAAAAAAAAAAAAAATTATGGTCTTGAATGAATAAAAGAACTGAAACAAGATTAAGGATTGAAAGTCGAATCTCTAGCTAAATTTTAAGGTACAAGTAAGGAAACTGGAGAAAAAATTGTCACTAAGACACATAGAAGATGATACTGATACCACAGGACTCAGCCAGAATTGGGTGCCTTGTTTACATGGAGGTGTCTTTCGCCACCCTGTGGTAGCTCACGAGTTGACAACTACAGATCCAGGATGCAGAGGTCCTCAGTGCAGCCTTGTGTCTTCTGTCTTTGAATTAAGACTGGAATTAAGACTGCTCAGACCTTAAATTTAAAGAAATACCAGAAGAAGAAAAAATAAAAAAATATTTGAAAACTATATTCTGAAAAACTTATTACACTATAATGTAGTTCTTAGGGGGTTGATTTTCTTGAAAGATGAAAAGAAGGGCCTAAATCATGAATGCTGTGTTTATTTTTATTTTACTCAAATTTCATTCAAATTTTATATAAATTGACCCATTGAACTACTGGCATCCATTCAGTAATACACACACAAAGAAAAGACAAATGGAAAAGACAATCAGTTCCTCAAGAGAATTGTGTAGCAATCTTTGTAAAATTCTGTAGGATATGCAAACCAGTACTAAAGGCATTTCTCAAAAATGGACTTCTTTTTATGTCTTTAGTAACAATTCTGCTAATGGTTTGTAGTAACACTTGATATTATACTGAAAAGATTCTTCTCTCATACAATGTATCCCAACCACAGCTTCCCCTCCCTCTACTCTTCCCAGGCCATCAAATAATTTATTTCAGGATATGAATCATTAAGTGATTTAAAATGTAACATGTTTTGTTGGTAATTTTATCTTCTGTTTATATGTCATTTTTCCTCCCTTAGGAGTGCAAATTCATCAATGACAATGTTGTCTGCTGGAAATGGACCTTTTGTGAGTTTAAACATAGCCCCTAATGGCAGCTTGACACTAACACCCAGGTGGGCACTAAGATGTTTTATTTTCATTTGGTAAACAGAACTAGATAGAAAATATTTTGAAGTCAATGTCAGTGATATCATATACGGACCACATAGACATGAAAGTTGTTCCGTTTCTTTATTTGTGTAAAGCAAAGCACCATCTAACTAGTCTTTTCTGATAGGATTATCTGATTCTCATTTTTATAAGACAGTCTAGTGAAATATAAGTAACTAAAGTTATAGCATACAGAAAAGGAAATGATATACCTCAATACCTTTCTTATTCTCATATTCTAAATCCTTAAACTTCATAAAAAGAAATTGTAAGTCCTAGAATGAGGGTCAACACTCCTCAGACGACTGTCAAAATGCAAGGGGTTATGGAGAATTAAATATTATCTTTCTTAACAAATTATATGAATGTCATTTTAAAATAGTATAATTAGGCCTACATTCTCTCTCTCTCTCTCTCTCTCTCTCTCTCTCTCTCTCTCTCTCTTTCATTGGGTTTATTCCTTCAGCCCTTTGTAGGGTATTGTAAGGCAACACCCTTCCTCTATTCTAAAGCATATCATGAATAAATTATGTAATTTCTCCTATTTAGGCATTAGTGGCAATTTTTGTATTAAATTGGCCTCTGAGTTTTATAATTTCACTATAGACAAACTGTGGAAGAGAAATGACTGCAAGGAGACCTTGGGATTGCACTCCGCATTAACATCTTATGTCCACTGGATTTGATCTAACAGACTCAATGTTAAAAATAGCATCGTGTGATTCTACTATTGGTGAAAGCCAGCACTCCCATAGCTCAAGCAGTAAATCAAATTTGTAAGGACCATATTTAGTATCAATAAAAGGGTTTTGCAGTGTAGTATTTTGTATCAATGTGGATAGATATGATATCGTGAGTCTCACCAGAAGTGAGATAAACCATTTGGAAGTTTTCAAACAGGTTTCCCAGCTTCCTTTCTATAAAACATTCTCAAATTCATGTTTCTCCAATACATTGAGAATTCTACCTGCTCATATATTTCATAGATTAAGCACTAGCAAGAAAGAGAAAAGAAAATAGTTAAAGGTCATTCAAAATAATTGCATACATGCTTCAGAAAAGGTGCATGTCATTCCATTCTCATGAAACGGTGTCAGGATAATAATCAATGCCATTATTACACCTACATTCATGACATTTAACAAAGACTTTATAGATGCACTCTTTACCTTTCTTTACACCAAAACAAAAAAGATTAGTTAAATGCCCTCAATCCTTTTCTTAATTGGCCACTTTATGCTGCACTTTCAAATCCGAGACATGATGACTCATTCAATCCCTTAGGTAACTAATTTATGTTTTTATTTATTTGTTGGACAATTATTATATTCAGTGTCATATGAAAAATGTGCCTTTTAAAATGTGTTTTTTAAAAAAAGAAATATTAGAAAGAAGTTACCAGAGAAAAATAGAAATGTCTTGTCAAAATGATAATGAACTACTAACTACTCTGTGCTTGATAGAAATTAATTTGGCAGTGTTTGCTCTTTTGAAGACTAGTAACAATGTCTTAGAAGCCATATTAAATATGGATTTTTATTGCTGAGTACTGTAGATCTGAAAAGAGTTTTTGTGAGACTTGAAAATATTCTATGAGACATCCTATAAACTACTTTTCATTCAAACACATAAAGAAAACAGGCTTTGAGGCATTTTAGATATATATGTATATAGGGAGAGAGAGAGAGAGAGAGAGAGAGAGAGAGAGAGAGAGAGAGAGAGAAGAGAGAAAGAGACATACTCATATTGATTATTAATAAAATACATTTTCCTATATTTCTATTGAAATTGTCTTATACATTAAAAGAGAATATCACTAATAGGATGTAGGCTCATGTGCTTATAAATAAGCTTTATCAAGCATGTTGTAAAATCACGGAGGTGCTTTGATTGAGCATACAGCATTTTTCTGTGCTTTTCCTTTTATCCTTTTCCCAAAGTAAAAGAACTTAAGCAATTTGTACACCTCATTCAGGTAAGTACTTAAGTACACAACGTTTAATTCTACATGTCTGCACATGTATACAAACGTGTGTTATTTAATGCATGGATCGCCTCAGCAGCGGCAGGAGTGAAGTACCATGATTCCTGGTGTAACATTGCCCTCTGCTGGTTGAATTGTGCAACGCCTTACAAACAAATTTTCTTTATGGACGTTTTTGGCTCTGTAGGTGATAATTTTTCAGCAGTCTGTGCTTATTTATTATTTCATGCTTTCCGTGCACACGTCTGCCTCTCTTAGAAACATAGCCTGTGGTTTATTCATCTTTCACTTGAAGAAGGAAGTGCACAGCCTAGCAGGATGAGTCATCGCTAAATAGCACTGAAATTGATGATATTGAGGCTGATTGCCATCAGTTGGTCCTCATTGGCAGTCTTAATTTCTGTTACTTCAGCCAATCATAGTCTAAATATTTTAAATGGTAAATACATACATGAACCGTTCATTAGTTTCAATTATTGCCAATCTGGGCAGCACTAACCAATTTTACTGTGTCCTGAATGAACCATCTCTTAGTGCAACATAACCCAGTTGTACATTTTCTTTCCATTAATTCTTCAGAAGTTATTTTAATTCTCAAAATTATTTGCAGTATTAAGTGATTTTCTCCAAGTAATTCATAATTTGCTCAATAGTGTCACCAAAATAAAGGGATAGTGTATATCATTAAGGTTTTTTTTTCTGGATAATAAAGAAAGAAAATTCATATGCTAAAAATATACAACCTGTAGTAAATACTCATTATCTATTCATAAAATTGTGGGAAAAAATCACTTTTTGTTACTCTCACCAAAACTTCAAAATTTACAACCGTTATGTGTCATAGGTACTTGGTTTTGAATAAATACTAAAGGTATTGAAACATATTCCCTAAGAATGAGAAAATAATGAAATCCAAGGTTGGTGTTAGCAAAATGGCAATATGTATCATAGATCAAATATTAATTATGTTTAATTCATGATAATTCCAAAGCAAAATATTCTCATAGTCCCCATGAAATTCCAATACACTAGGTTTTATTATAATCATGTTGATACTGAGTAATTTTTTAAATTATATAAAGAATAAGTTTAAAAATGTAAACACAGCCCTATCTGATATTCAGGTGGGTCATTTTCTTATTTATTTATTGATTGATTTATTTATTTTTCCATTCAAAAATTTACACTTCCTCCCCTCCTCCCTCCAGTGGGCCATTTTCTTCTGTGGATTTCAGCTTTTCCTGAATTTTAAATCTGCTATACATATTTAAATGTCTATTTAACTAACAAAAACTTATTTTCTATTGTAGTCTTCAGTGCTCACAAAATTTATTGATTATGCTACATTGTAACCATAAATGTAAGTATTTGTCACCCTTTAAGCCTTCAATTTAAAATTCCAGACAGAATTTTATGTCACTTGAAGTTATTTTGTCAGCACTTGAATTTTCATATAAAAATATGGTATATCTCATTTCCTCAATTATTGTGATAGCATGTGGAGAAAAAATGGTGGCCTCGAATGTCAACCCAAAGATCGTTGGTGGAAGTGATGCCGAGGCAGGGTCGTGGCCCTGGCTTGTGGCTCTGTATTACAGAGACAGTTACAGAGACCAGCTGCTCTGTGGTGCGTCTCTCGTCAGCAGTGAATGGCTAGTGTCTGCTGCACACTGTGTCTATGGGTGAGTATGGATATGAAGGGCCCAGTTGTACATAAATCATACATACACCAGGGTGCTAAACCCTCACCATCACCAAAGATTGACTTGAGACAGTGTCTCCATGTCCTCTGTGTGATGCTAATAAAGACGTAATATGCATATTCATCTAGGAGTAAGCAAAGAACAATGCAAGCTTTATTAAGAGATATTAAGTAAATGTGATAAATTAAGAAAAAGTGAGAAAAACTCTCGATAGTTGAATGAGGAAGGGGAGTCGGTCCCACTGGAAGAAAAAGCCTTTGAAATAAGCTATGAGCTGATAGTACAGCCATAACAATGGTGGTGATAATTGTTGTGAAATGGTTGGTTCTCTGGGCTATCAGATCCTGAGCCAATTCTCAGTCCATGTGATTTGTGCATAATCCCCTAACCCAACCAGGGAAGTGATTGTGTACTGTTCATGGACCGCTCACTCAATAAGCGATAGTTGAAGACCTGTATCTGTCCCCCCGCCCCGTCCCTTTTTTTCGGTTATGACTGTCTGCTAGTAATTAGTTGTTGTTAACGGCCTCCGACCTCACAGGGGCCTCACGCAGTATTGATTAAACTACGTTCTCTTTGTATATTTACCAAAGTATACATAACAAAAAGTCTGTAAAGTTGCTCTTAGTTAATGTGGGTTAACACAAGATAGGCTGGCATTTCGTTACTGAAAAAGAGGAAGGTTCCCTTAGATATTGTTTCAATTACCTTCAGAAGAAATAAGAATCTGTAAAAAAGCAATAACACTCACGTTTCCTGGGAGATTTGGATGTGGTCTCAGGAAAGCTAACTAGCTGGCATGCTGACACTGACCTTAATTTTCATAGCCTGCCTCCTTTCAAGACCTTTTAGTTGTCTCTTACACAACTGCAAGTTCTTTGTTTCTCACCACTAATGTCTCTGCCCTCATCCCTCAGCCATAATATTCCCTTTTATCTCTAGCATCCTTTCCTGATTGTGTGAACAACTGACAGTTTCCACCATGAACCCTTTTCTCTTTCAACCTATAGAGAGCTATTTCCTCCCTCAGCAAGGTGTCCTAGAGCAAACAGGGTCATCTGAGAAGGCACAAAAGAGCATTTTATTTTGTATAGGCCCAAGCCTACCATGTAAACATTTTTACTCTTTATCATATTGCTACTTGATGTGGTTCTTTAAGGGGCAACAATAATATTAGATATTGAAGTACAGTCTAGATGAGGAATCGTAAGGCCATAATAAATGATGAACAACCTTGTAGAGGCTGAAGAAAAACCTTATCTAATCAGGCTGATATATAGGAAGAAAACTGCCAAGAAAAACTGAAATTGCAAAAAAATAAAAACAAATAGAAATTGATGATGGTACCCTAGGATCACAGTTGAAGATGATGGAAATTTAGTAAGAAAGACACATAAGCAAAAGGTATGAGGAATAATTCAGGGGTGACTAAAAGTAACAGTGTGAGTATGATGTAATTTATAATGTTGAGATGAGGAAATAAGAACATAAACATAGTAAAAATAAAGGAAGTTAAGGTTTCTTGTTTTTATACAAATCTCAGCTATCTTTTTTAAAAATAATAGGTTCTTCTCTCACATAATACATCCCAATCACAGCTTCCCCTCCCTCCACTCCTTCTAGGTACTCCTAATCTCCCCTACCACCCAGACCTCATCTTCCTCCATTTCCTCTTCAGCAAAGAACAGGCCTCCAAGAGACCACAGCCAAACAGGACAAAACAAGACACAATATCCCAAAGCAAAAAGCCCTCATATCAAAACTGTACAAAGCCACCTAGTAAACGAAAAGAGTCTCAAGGGCAGGCAAAACATAAGTGATACACCTGCTCATGTGTTTGGATTCCCACAGAAACAGCAAGCTAACAATCATAACATGTATGCAGAGGGTCTGGTGCACACCCGTCCAGGTCCCTATTCTTTCTACTTCAGTCTCTGTAATTCCATATGAGCCCTGTTTGGTTGATGCGATGGGCCATGTTCTCCTAATGGCCTCCATCCCTTCTGACTCTTACAGTCTTTCCTCCCCCTCTTCTGGAGTTCTCCGAAAGCTGAGGGGGAGGAACCTGATGGCAACCTCCAATTTAGACTGTCTCTCTACATAATGTCTGGTTGTAGGTCTTTATTGATACTGGTCAATTTGGCTCTAAATTCTAGAAAAACAAGGACTGAAGTATAATAACATGCTGTTAATATTTGAATTCATGGTATCACTGGATAACTTTATCTATAGAGTAAATGTATAATATAGGCCTAAAGCAGAATCCTAAAATATTCTAACACTTAGAGTTGCCAAAAAAGAGAGCAGGAGTGGGTAGAGTTAAGTGAAAAAGAAACCACAAGTGCATGGGCTGTTCTGGAAGTCATGCAAAGGAGGGAGTTCCGAATGATTCCTTGTTTCTATGAATCATCCACAGGCAGATAATGATGATTTTGTGGTTACCTCCCAGTGCCTTCTACTTTGCTTTCGTTCTCTTCAACAATATTTTTACTTACTCAGGAGCAGGATAGAAATCAGGCATACACTAATTTTCTATTCACTTTTCGTAATACTACTACTTCTTTTTGTACTTATTGTAGCCTCATGCCCTTCCATTACCAAGTCATTATAGTGACTAGAATAATCATGATAATTACTAATTGATGTGTAAATTGCTGAAAGTTGACCAATTTTATACAATTTGGGCTGATGTTGCTTTCCGGATTGTTCTTGATAATTCTTGGAGGATTTTCTACCCTGCAGTTTCAATTTCAGAAATATCTTAAATTTTACTTTTTAAAATTATAATTGGCTGTATTCTTTGGGTCTTCATCTTATTCAGAAGAGAATAATTAGAATTCAACAACCTATGCTAGGAGAAAGCAGGGTTATGGACAAACTTGCTGATACTGCTCTTGAGTCATTTATAGCAATGTTAAAATGGAGGAGGGGTTCAGTTTACAATTACAAAATCCTACCTATGCTATTGTCTGTTCCACTATTATGCTTCTCTTCCATGTCTCTCATACTATTTTTATTTCTGGAAACATTGGTTTCTGAGGCAACACCACTATGTGGGGATGATCTCACTTTGCCTATCTGATGCGGTATTGTTGTCCTAGCATGTGTGCTAGTCTTTGGGGTTGACAGGTCAGGAGGGCACGCCTTTCTGATCCCTCCCAAACTTTCTCTTTCCTTAAATTCTAAGATAATCAGTTTTACCACACCTAGCAGATGGAGGTAAAATTTCACAGAATGAAGTCAATTTCTACACCTGAAGAAGCAACATCCAAGTAGCATCCAAAGAATCAGGGTTTGCTATCAATATGACGACCCGTCCGCTTGTCCTCTGTCTTCTGCCTTCCCTCCTATCATTTCTTTCCCTTTCCTTTCTTCCTTCTTTCTATTATATTACACTCTATTATTTTCCCTTATCACCTTTTCTTCAGAGCTAGCGAGCAATCCAAAGGCCTTGCACATACTAACCAAGCATTCTACCATTGAGCTATACTCCCAGCCCACTTCTTCCACTTTGGCTAGTATTTAGAATCTATGAAGAAAGGAAAAATTGAAAACACATCGAATCACTCCTTTTCAACAGAAATGATCCCTATGAAGGCTTTTCTGTCTATTCCTCTGGAAGCAGAAGCCATATAAGCTCTTCCTTATATAAGTCACCTTTTCCATAGTGTTTTGTTTATAGCAATAGAAAAGTAACTGATACAATAACACAAGATGTTTGAGAAGACATGGCAGAAGAAAAATAACATTAATTAAGCTTCTGTAACTTAATTAGGAATATTAAAATGGAGTCACAAGTGGAACCCAGCAAATTTGATTTACATGAAATTAATAATACAATAGTGATTACCAGAAGATAAGGAGCACAAACAGAGGAGAATCGGAGGAAATTTGATCAAAAAGTAAGGCTAGGATATAAAGTAGAGGTTAGTTTTCTATTGAACAACAGTATGGCTACAAATGATAGTGACATATGTTTCAAAAAGGTGTTAGTAAGCATCTTGAGTAATTTCACGAAAATAATAAATGTTAGAGAAAATGTACTGTTTACTTTGACTGAAACATTTCAATATCATATATACACCTGTATCAAAACATGAAATGGCAGTCCCTAAGTATGTCCCAATTTCTGTATCAGTGAAATATAATAAGAAAAAAAGTACCTTCAAAGAAACACTGCTTAGAGGAATCAAGGAATACTATAAAATGGAAATGTTGTCAGTTCTAGCTTTTTGTTCGATAATGTCTGGACAAGTTCTCTTCTAGATGAAAAGTAACTTGAAAATATTTTCTTATCACAATCTTCAGACGAAATGTAGATCCAACCAGGTGGACAGCAGTCCTGGGCCTGCATATGCAATCGAATCTGACTTCTCCTCAAGTAGAAAGACGGGTAATCGATCAAATTGTCATCAGTCCTCATTATGATAGGAGAAGAAAGTTCAGTGACATTGTTATGCTGCACCTTGAGTTTAAAGTGAATTACACAGGTAAGAGAACTCTATCTAGCCATCTAATCTGCTCATAGCAACCCAAAGTGAGACTTGAAATATCATCAGTAGCAATTCAGGGTTAAATGAACTCTCATAGAGAAGTAGCAGGATCTCAACCAGTCCTCTTCATGTAGGTCATTCAATGGAAACATAGGTCTATCTGCCAAAATGCATGAAGCAAGATACAAGATAAAAGAGATAGGTTAATGAAATATGTTATACACATTGAGACAGTTTTAAATGAGACCCAAAAATATCACTAGACCAACCAATGAAGGATTGTCTCAAATGCCTATAAACTATCACCCGATAAAGTGAAATTTCTCCTAAAGAGTTCTGTTCAATCTAAGCCATTACTCTGAAGTCTTTTCTAAAGCCCGGTTGGGCAACATTGTCGCTGTATGTAAAATCAATTTATTTTTGCAGAATCTTATAAAATAATTATCAGGATTATATTCGTGTTTGTTATGAGAGTTAAATTCATGGAATTGGTCCACATATGGATTATGGAAAAGCAGGCCATTATAGTCCTGAGTAGCATCACAGTGTCCTCAAAGATAATTTTCATTTCTATGTCTTTCATGCATCCAGTGGGCATCAGAAGCTTACTAAAATCAAAGGACTTGTAAGTTGATGCTGAATAGTCAAACATGATGCTTCCACGGGATCCAAATAAAACAATTGGAGGAAAAGTAGTTTTAATGTGGTTCAATGTGTCAAAAATATTTTAAAACACCATCCAATATTTTTTCTTAACTAACCTTTTGAAAGAACATTAAAAAGACAAGCAATATGCCTCAGCAGGCAAAGACAGGCAGGTAGAGGCACTTTCACACAGGCCTGATGGCCGTAGTTCACTTTCTGGGTCCCACAAGATGATGGGGAAGAACTAGCTTTCTAGAGTTGTCCTCTGCCTTCAATATGCTAATGTGTGATATTTGACATACATGTACACACATATCAATAAATGCACATAAGCATTCATATATGTATATGCACACGTATAATTAAAATAAACAAAAGTTTAACATAATGAAAATAAACAAAAATTTAAAAGAACAGTCCTCACTTTTTACAAAATTGGAACTACTTTATAATGAGCACCATGGTTATTTAAAAATCAAATACAAAAATGAAAATCAAAATGAATGATAAATCATGAACTAAAGCATTATGTATATTAAAAAGATTAATTAGAGAATAATGGAGAGGAATCCAGAGTTCACCATCCCATCAAACACAGACAAATAAAGACTGTTCTCAAGTGCCTTTGCCACATAATAGTTGAAGTTGTTCATGTATAATGAAATTCATACATAAACTTTTTATATTAAACGTTGAATGTTTTTTTAAATTTACTAGACACATGAGTAATATTCTGTTTTATTTCAGATCATATCCAGCCTATTTGTTTACCAGAAGAAAATCAAATATTCAGTCCAGGGAGAATTTGTTCAATTGCTGGCTGGGGCGCTACTGAAAACGGAGGTTAGTTATCCCATTTGAAAATGAGAACGTGTATACTAGAAAAAAAGTATGCTACTGAAATTTGCTGTGGATATTTTCAACATTTTTACATATTTTAACCTATTAGTTTTTGCAGAATATTCTAAAACAATTATTGGGATTATATTCATGTTTACACTTATGTAGTAGCTCCAAACATTGTCAGGTTGTGTCAAATCCAATACCATAATCCAGAAAACTCAAAGACTAATATGTAAATTTAGCATAATAAAACACTGACGAATTAAAAATATATACATAATGAAGTGACTATAGCCCAAGCTTCTATAAATTTATGTTCACATGTACAAATGAAATCTCATCTCAAGAGTGAAGTTATTCTCTTTTTACATTTTTGCAATCAACAATGTTGTCTTTATTTGTGGTGTTATAGTCTCACATTAAATTCTCTGGAATGAGAAGAGGATCTCTGTTAAGTGTGATGGTTCTACCTATTGGTAAAGGGTATCAAATATAAGATAAATAAAAGATCATACATTTATATATTATTGACTCCTTAAGATTAATTGATGGAATGTTTCCAAACACAAATATGATGCCCCTTAAATATCCTTATGTCACAACAGCAGTTTCCCAGGGAATGGAAGTCACATATAATGTAATAGATATTACATTAGCCCCAGGAAGAGCAGCTACTAACAAGAAAACAAAAGATATATGCATATGAACTGATAAAGAAAGGAAAATTACAGCCAGGCAGTGGTGGCGCACACCTTTAATCCCAGCACTCGGGAGGCAGAGGCAGGCGGATCTCTGGGAGTTCGAGGCCAGCCTGGTCTACAAGAGCTACAGTGTGATCCCTACAGTAAGAGAATTATAAATAGCAACAAAGTTCTATTCTTTTCAATGTGCAGAATAAAGGACTCTGAAGGTCTATCATAGAAAAGAATAAACACTCAAACAGATAGATGATATGTCTTAAATATCAAGCAATGCATACATGAATCCTAAGTTATGACATGCACATCGGTGTAGCATAGAGGAGGCAGCCCCCTCCCCCAACACATTAATATCATTATTTTCTTGATTTCAATATATAGTGAGAAATAAATTTAAAACTACAGTTAACCAGAATATGTATGTGTGAACAAATTATCTATTATAGCCAAGATATTCATGCCATCAAAATGCAATTACAAGACTCTTTGACTACAAGATTCCTTCCAGGACTACCCAATCTTGAACAGAGGTTTTTGAGTGTTCAGTTGGGCTACACAAAAAGGAAGGACACTGCTATCTGGCAGGATCACGTGACTTTTATAGTCATAAATTATAACCATGATAGATAAATGACCCATCTGTATTTAAGAAAAATACATAAATATTATAGAAATGCCTAGTCTAAGGATCAAAGCCTTCACTTTGAAAATGCCCTTTGGAGAAAATGTATGCAATGGCTCTGTAGTTTTTAGCCTTTGCTCCTATAACACATGGGGATAGGAAACCTCATCACCACATCCTACTTGGCCTGTATAAATACACTCCACATGTTTATTCCTTCTGGTTATTTATTTCACTTTTTAAATGGAATGGGGGAGAGGAGTTGACTGATCGATGATGATGATGGTGTGTGTGTGTGTATAAATATTTTAAAGAATAAATACAAACTGGAAAAAATGCTTGCTTATTAAAGAAAGCATCAAGTTCTGAGGCCTGTGCTCACCTGCCCGGCAACTCAACATAATAATCCACAGCAGTCACATTGTCTGGCTGACAGTAGCTAATGACCGCTGTCCATAAAGTATATTCAAGTCAAAGACTATGTTTTTTTTTATTTTCTCTTCTTGAAAACTGTCATGACTTATTAAGTTGGAAACTGAGATAGTAAAATTATTGCTAGACAGATGTTTTATCTCTCAAATTTCAAAAGAACAATTTATAGCCAAAATGTAGACATCAAAAACAAATTATCTGCTAACAGAATTTAAGACTCTTTATTCAATGCAAGATTTTTTTTTTTGGAGCTGAGCAAGCATGGCTTGCTTATTATTCCGAAAATATATTTTAATTAAATTAAAATGTCTCTAAAGGCACTGTGGAGCCAGGAGGGGGAAAACAGCAAAAGAATCATTTAGAACGAAATGGCTAGACCGTGTGTCTCTTCTTCTTGCATTTTTTATGAGTTTTGTTAATTTGATCTTATAATTTATATCTATGCAACTTCATAAAATCCTGTTTTCTGATTTTATGAGTTTATTTTACTAATGAATTAATTAGCTATTTGTGAGTATATTTTTTACTAGAAAGAAATGAGGACATAACTCTTAAAGTTAGGCTATTAGTACTTTAAAATAAGCAAATTTGGCCATATATCTGTTTATAATTGTGTATTTGTGTATGTGTATGTGTTCTCAATCATCCACATGGAAACAGACACGGCTGGAGAGATGGTTCAGAGTTAAGAGTGTCCACTGTTCTTGCCGAGGACCTGAGTTCACTTCCCAGCACCCAGGCTCGTTAGCTCACAACACACTGCATTTACCTCTAGCTCTAGGGGATGAGACACCCTCTGCTGTGCTCCCCTGCCACCTGCACTCTTATGTGTATCCACACACACACACATACTCGCAACTCAAAAGTAATAAAAGTAAAATTTTATAAAGGAAAGAAATATTAAATACGCAGACATTGCTCATAGTTTCCTTTACTGAAGAGCTCTGTTACTCAAACTAAGTTTCTCTCCAGGGACAAACACAAAGAGAAGCTTCTGTTTTTATTGTAAAACTAAGGTCTGTCCACCTATCCTATCCTTGATCTTCATGGAGCCAATGAGAGAGAATGGCTGAACTTTTCTATTTCCATCTCTCATGTTTGCTGTCTGTCAGTTTTCAGGAGCTAATGGTTGTATTGTTGACTTGATTAGCACTATGGAAGCAACAGCTATTTGTACATTTTCTTCCCAACTTGATTTTCAACATTGTCGCTATAGAGTTAAATCATCCATGGTAGAACTGTTTGCCATAAGTAGAGAAGAGGGTAGATTTAGAACATTTTTCCCTAAATAACAAATAGCTAGCTACATGTTTACCAACATATGTGAGTCATATGCACATCATATATATATGCATATATATATAAATGTATTATACACATTTATTTGTATTTATATATGAGTGTGTTGTTGTACTTAAATCACACGCATAAACACACACTTGGGTCTTTTCTTAATATCTTAACTTTTTTTAATGTGTAAGTGAAACTTGGCTCAAATTGAGACTGCATATGTTTTTCAAGGCTGCCTTACAGATGTAATAAATAACCTTTAACTTTCTATCTCTTTTGTCACACCAAATAGAATTGTTGATCATGAGGGAGTGCTTATGTAGTGCCTTTTTCTGGAGGAACTAGCACCTGCTTGTTTCCCAAGCCTCTTGGGGATAGCAGTTCAGTAAGCAGAGATTCACACTTCCAACGAATTATTAGTTGCATAAAACAAATGCAAATACACAATGCTGAAATCTACTTCCCTTTTCTTCGCCTGCATGGGATGGCAAGCTGATTGCCCCCGAGCAGAGCACAGTTCATCGGAGCTTTGTCCTCTGCTCAGTGTGCACCTGCTCATACACAAAGGACCACAAAGAAGCTGAATGCCATTCTACAGGAGAGAGCACCTCCTCAGGTGCTAAATGAAAAGCTCTTCTGAATCTCCAAGTTGGTGCTGATTTCCATGAATGAACTCTTTGTTCTGGCAGACTTCGTTTCTATGAGCAGTACTGTAACTCTTTAAAATCACTGAAAATGCCTAAAGACCACCCTAGATCAATCCATAATTCCTACTACCCCTTACGAAAGAAATAAACGTGGCAAAAAAAAAAATCCATTTGCCAAAGAGCGCAGGTGGGTTTGCCATGTAGTTGAAAGTGCAAGGTTAGTAGTTAGTTCCATTGTACCGCCACACAGTACCTGATAATGAGAGCAAAACGCTGGAATCAATAAGATGGATGGTGTTTCATTCAAGGAGGCCTGTTAATCACTACTGACTCGCTGTCTGCATCACCCATTTGAGCAGGTTCTACTGTCAATGTGCAGCAAGAAGCTGATGTTCCTCTTGTATCCAATGAGAAGTGCCAGCAACAGCTGCCCGAATACAACATCACTGGAAATATGATATGTGCAGGATATGAAGAAGGAGGCATTGATTCTTGTCAGGTAATGACTGGATAGCAGTCATAGTATTCATTTAGGCAGCATTTTCCTTACTTAGTCATAATTGGGGAGTCAAGAAATCACCAAGGATCCTGAACTCCACTCCTTTTATGATAAATTGGATTATTGGCCATGAGTGACCCTAGACAAGCCACTTATTCTTTGAGAGGGTTAAGTAAGATAACACATATAAAGCAATCAGCAAACATTAAAATCCAATTAGGGGATTTTATTAGGAGACTTACTAAATACATTTTTCTGACATGTCTTAATTATTTGGAAATTAATAAAATATTAATGCATCTAGATTGACTGCATTAAATTAAACTACAGAACAAATAAATAATTCATACATGTGAAAGTAACCATTTATATTGTTAGAACATGATTTTGCTGTGTTAAGGTGTAGCCACTTGTTTCATACAGTAAAACATATATAACATAATTTGACAACTATTTTTGACAGACAGGCAGATAAATGTGTAGGTTTTTCCCTAGTTAAATCAATGTCTCAATTATGTTAAACTTTCAGATTATTTTACATTTCCTCTGCCTTGATGAACATTAAAAATAAAACAGCTTTACACTTATTTAAAATTTACCTGTGGGTCTTTATACTTCCCTTATAAAATGAAAAAAAAATGTGCCAAAGATCAGATACATTACCACTTAAGATATGATTTATAGAATTATTTGCAAGAGGGAAATCAGCTATACAATTTCAATTATAGTTAATGGGGGTTGCATGGCAGACAGTTCACGAATGAGGTAGAAAATACGATGGCTAATGCTATTGATCTTGAGTTACATTATACAAGTAACTCATTTCAGATCTGTGAAATCTTTACTTGGCTCTGCTTTCTACAGGGTCTAACCATGCTACTCATTAGAAAGAACTAAATTCCAAATGCATAGAGATATTTTATGCAATAAAACAATGTTGTTTTATTGAGCAACAATCACTCTAGATTGCCACATGACTTTCTAGGTTCAACATTAATATTAACTGGTGAAATAATAACACATCATTTCAAATTTTTAATATATTATTGTTTGAATACATTCACTACATCATTGGGATTTTAGCCTCAAAATTTGCCCTATCAGGCAGACCCAATTAGTTTACATATTGTAGTCTCAAAATCCAAATCAGGCGCACAAGGAGAGAGAGCACAAGCAAGGAACTAAGGACCGCGAGGGGTGCACCCACACACTGAGACAATGGGGATGTTCTATCAGGAACTCACCAAGGCCAGCTGGCCTGGGTCTGAAAAAGCCTGGGATAAAACCGGTCTCGCTGAACAAAGCGGACAATGAGGACTACTGAGAACTCAAGAACAATGGCAATGGGTTTTTGATACTACTGCACATATTGGATTTGTGGGAGCCTAGGCAGTTTGGATGCTCACCTTACTAGACCTGGATGGAGGTGGGTGGTCCTTGGACTTCCCACAGGGCAGGGAACCCTGATTGCTCTTTGGGCTGACGAGGGAGGGGGACTTGATTGGGGGAGGGGGAGGGAAATGGGAGGCAGCGGTGGGGAAGAGACAGAAACCTTTAATAAATAAATAAATAAATAAATAAATTAATTCAAAGTCAATAAAAGAGACCATAAAGTATCTCCTCATTGATAAAAAGAATTAATGACATTTCACTTTTCATTCAGAAACTGCACGACTAATTCATCAGTAGTTTATCAGTAGTTTCACAAACATAGCCTACACTGCATCAAATGGATCAGCTTCTCCTAGAACTTTTTCAAATTACAAATTTAAGAGGCCATCACATACCTACAAATCAGAATCTTAGCCTTTAATCCCAGCACTTGGGAGGTAGAGGCAGGCAGATCTCTGTGAGTTCAAAGCCAGCCTGGTCTACAAGAGCTAGTTCCAGAACAGGGTCCAAAGTGACAGAGAAACCCTGTAGCAAAAAAAAAAAAATTAGAATCTTAAATTGAGGACCAATGATGTATGCTTTCTTATATCTTCAGGTGACTTTAATATATAATAAAGTTTGAGAACCATTGAACTAAGGAGAAATAGTCACTAACCCTTTCACATTTGAAGAAGTTAGTGACTACATATTCTTATATACTATAAATAGTGTCAAAGTAGAAACATAGAATCAGTTTTAATATTTATGTTCTTGCATTAGTTTATAATTTAAATAGTTGCATTTCTTTGAAATAATAGAAGCAATCGCATTGCACAATTTATAAAATCAAGTCTAAGAATTTTCATAATATAAATAACATGATAAGGTTGGATAATAGGAAGTGATATATTTGAAACAGCCAAGGCCTCCATCCATGTAGACACCCAGAAGAAAGGCGGCAAGCCTTCTGCAAGATTCATGGATCACTGCCACTCAACAGACTTAGTATACACAAAGTAAATTAAAACATTTGATCCTAACATCAATATCTTATACTTTCCTATTAAAATGTCAATCATTTTCATAAAATAGAAAGAACCAGATAACTTGTTTTAAAAACATCTGATTAAATGTTCATTTAACTTTAATAACTTCTAAATCATATAAAAGACATTGTGAGCAATAAACTTCCCATAAATATTTCTCATATTAAAATCAAGTCCTTAGGATGCAAAAGTAAAAATTGCTGCCTATCCTCTAGACAGTTTTGGCACAATTGTTAAACCTTGAATATAGGTAACTGGGATTTCCAGTGCCACTTGTGTTACTCTGTGCACAACAATGGAGCAGTTTGTTTGACAGGCCACCTTTTTCTCTATATATAGCACCAAAGGATGGTTAAAATATCAGGCAAGAGGTCTCTCAGGGTAAATTTCTAACATTGGTCCAAATTTTAAGTATTCTATTACAACAGTGATTTTTGATCAATATGCCTTTAATTCCAGCAGAGGCCAGCAGATCTCTGTGAGTTCAGTGCTAACCAGATCTATATAGCCAGTTTCAGGCTAACAAAGGCTACTCAAAAAAAAATGACAAATAAATAATTAACAAGAATCCTTTGCATAACTAATATGGGAATAACATTTGTTCATCGTTTTATAATTAAGTAATGCTGCTTTATGTCCATACTATTTTTATATGCATTAGAGAGGAATCATTATGCACAAATAAGACCTATATGATTAACTGTACAGGATCAACTATCACTTACTACTTAACAAGTAATATAAGTGATACTTATTACTTATACTGTGACAAAAATCTAAATGAAAATACATGTTCTGATTGCTAGAAAATAAGAGATTTGCTTATTTTGGTTGAAATCTTAAGGTTTTTCAATGTGGTTGGTACTTGACACTTGCAGTCGCATAAGAGAACAAAATCTAAAGCCATGTGAGCACTTCATTCTCCTAAAAATCATCACGTGGAATAGCGTAGCTGTTTGTGGGGAGGCTTTGTCTGATACGTCACATGTTACATCATATAGTGACTGGCATGTTGATGTTGACATGGCTTATTTATTATTGCAGCATTTTAGAGAATGTCTGACTATGTTGAAACACAATAATGAAAGTCAGGAACTGCTTGCTAAGAAATGCTCCATCAGAATGATAGACTTCTCTTGTTACCATTTGCCCCATCTCCTTCAGGAGCCAATTTCTGATGACTCAACATACGGTGCGAATGTGGAAACATAACTGGCAGTCGATCATATGTCAGGACATTGATTTTTTGATTGGTGATCTTAGCACCAATTGTACTTGTTTATACTGATTAACACTTTTCTTTTTGCTGTTCACTCTTTAGGGTGATTCAGGAGGACCATTAATGTGTCAAGAAAACAACAGGTGGCTTCTTGTTGGTGTGACATCATTTGGAGTGCAATGTGCACTGCCTAATCGCCCTGGCGTATATGTCCGGGTCTCAGAGTTTGTAGAGTGGATACAGAGTTTTCTGCATTAGTCATTTTCCTGACCCAAGCATGAAAGTTGGGAAGTTTTGGTTTATTTGTTTGTTTTTCCTTTTTATTCAAAATAGCATGGCAACTGAGAGTTTTGTGAGAAGAAAGAAAAGGCCTTTCTATTAAATTGAATCATTTAAATACTGGGATGAAGAAGAAAAACAAAACAAGAAATTAAAATCAATCTCTGCAACATTAATTAACTCTAAAATGAATTTTTGTTTCATAATAAACAATTATTATTTTATGGACTTTATCATTTCCTTTGTTTTGAATCATTCTTACCATTTTCTCTTGTGTAAAGATTTTTTTACTTTAACATATATTTAAGCAAAACTACGTAAAGAAATGAACTGTGATAGTTTACCTAGCATATGTTGTTGTTTGAAATGAACTGTTGTAACTCAGCTAGTTTCAGCTTAGTGTACCTCCAGAATCACCATTGTTTTCTCGTCTTACTGTCTGTATGCATTTCTATTAATATGTAATGTTTTCCCTGCTCATTAAAGCACATTTATTGTAAACTCATATCACAAGCATAATCACATCATAACTGTGTCTGTCATTGAGGTAAAGAAAACATGCCCACATTTCACTCCTGACCTAGCATCAACATAAACATAAACTACCTAATACCATCATTCTACACAAGAAATCTTTATCAGGGTCATTTTAACTTACCAGTCACTTCAAGCTGGTATTTTTTTTAAAAATCGCAAAAATATGCAGGTATCTTGAGGAAATCAATTATTAAAATTTTTCTTAGTTTAAACGCTTACAGAAATTTTTAACTTGAAAAACTGATTCAGACACAGTTGAATTGCCCATTAAAGCTAAAAATGTGTAATAAATTAATTTGCTTTACTACTTTAATCTCTTGGATCATTTCCAGAGTAGCTGCAAATGTCAATTTAGCTTACATCACCGAATCTGCTAAAATCTATAGCAACATAACACACACAGAGACAAATTTTTCAAGCACACATACACATTTTTGCATGAATTGAAACAACAAAAGGACGAATGGGGTTCAAACAAGTAGAAAAAGATGGGCAATTGCTATGGTTTGCTTTGTGGAAGGAAGGAAGCTTCAGGTACATTTAGAGAGAATGATTCCAGTCAGCACACTTAAAAGACACTGGAAAAAGCTGTGCAGGTAGGAAGGTTGGTGGAGGTCAGAGGTCAAGAGATAATCATGATGTTGTACCTAAGACCATCAGAGATTGCAAACATATTAAAAGAATATTCGACAAGATGATTGAGGATTGAACGCTCCCATAAACATAATAAATAACAATAAAAATAATAAAACATAAATAATCAGGGGTCTCAGAACACATTCTTCTTAGTAAAAACTTACTACTAACCTAAACCCCAGCAAGGAGAAAAGAGTGGGGTGTTTTATTTGTTTTGAATACTTTAAGGTTTGTTTTTCAAGGGCCAGCTAAAGCTTCTAGAATCACTTAGAATGGTATCCTTACCGTCTTCTAAGAGCAAAGAAATGTATTTTTCCACCCTTATCACAGATGGAGTTTGTCATTGACACCAGAGTTTATCCTGACCTGGATAATGATAAAAGGGTAACAACAGCCTTCCCCTTTCACTGTGTGCCTCCACCCTCCAGCTGTTAGGGCTTGGGCGGGCACAGACAAAGGGAAAGCCAGTTTCCCTTCTCACAGTTCTAACTAAAGGAAGAAATGGGTGGAGTTGGCATGGAGGGAAAACATAGATCCAAACAGCTGCATAGATCCAAACAGCTCCATATTTTGGTCCAAATTATGGAGAGCCACAGAACGGATGGGGGCTGAATGAGGACAGCCTAACTTAGAATGCAGTTGCCAGTTCTCAGCCCCAAAGCTGCAGAAAAAAAGATCTGAGGTCCCTTTTTGCCTTTTGTTTTGGAAAACCAAATCTACTTAAGGAAACTATTGTCCAACTGAAAAACTAAAAATATCAAGTCTCCCTGTTCACTCTATATCCTTGCCTTCTATGTTCTTCACATGTAATGTTTGTTTTCATCTTCAGGTCGTGATGAAACACATCTGTGTTCTGTTTATTTAAGAATTTAGACAACACCAAAGATCATTCCTCAGAAATAAGAACTTTTTATTTGGTTAAAAGTAACACAGGGACATTCGAAGACAAAATAGTTACAACTTTCTCTTGAGAAGAACAAATGCTACGTGTTGAAGTGACTCTATCAGACAGAAGAAAGCCACGGTGCACAGTCATAAACAAACCCTCATCAAAGATATCCAAACATCAATGACCTCTAGCCCATGGCCCATTAATAGTGTGATTTGTAGTTTTTGTTTTGTTCTTGATCTGTAATATCAGTGTGTTCTGCCTAGCATCACACAGCTGAAAACCATTCAGCCCTATATATCAATACAAGCTAAATTCAGTTAGGAAAATCTTAGCCGAGGTGCAGCTGTCTGACTCCAGGGTCAGTCCAAGCCCTCAAACAGCCGTCCTGTTCTGTGCACAGGGAAGAACCACACATTGATTCCAGACACTCAGAGAACAACTTGCAATTCTATAGGCAACGTGTGAAGAACTGTGATTGGTACTGTGGACACATTTTTTTTTCAAGATAAACTACATTGGTGTCTATACAACTATTAGTAAAGATATTTTATTACAAAAATCAGTTTAATTTTAAATTAAGAATAATTGTAAGGCACGTGTCTTGCACAATTGATGTTAGACAGTTCTTGCCTCTAAGTAAAGTGTTTCAGGAGATTTATAGCACAGCCAATGAAACAGCTTCTTATTTCTGAAGATATGTCCTAAATTTTATGCAAACAAAAGGAGGAAAATGGAAAGAACATGAACTATTTCTGAAAAGAAAAGTTTTCCCTAAGGAAATAGTTTTTCATGTCTGTGTAAATTCAGTATTTAATCAAAACATCATGTATGTAAAAATGAATGCCATAAATATAAATATTAGAACAATCCATTTTTATCAAACACTTTTGCAAAGGTAAAATTTTTTGCACACTGTAAATTTGAATACAATTAATATTACATGAAGTAGATCAAATGATGAAGGTGATGAAAAGCAAAAGGAACTACTTCCAACCCAGGAATTCCAGATGTGTCCACTGAAGTTTTATCTGCATGATCCATTTCAATTACATGTTTGGGTGCATTTTTTTAGCTGAGTAAGCAGGTCTCACTCCATGATAAACACAGCATATTTTGTAAGTTAAACTATGAACATATAAAAATTATTTTGACATTAGCCTCAAGGGGGAGCTTACAGTTCATCTTGTAGATCCTTTGAGATTTCAAGCCATTCCAAGCTAATGATGCCATTCCTTACACTGACCGGGAATTACAAAACTATCTTTGTTTTCTGGAGCAAAGTCAGTTACTTATTAGACTTCCATGCCGCTCTCCTTTCTCGTGCTCTTGGAAATCCACAGTGTAGACTGGTTCGGGCTAGTTTTTGTTCTTCCTTTACTGAAAAACATAAAAAGAAATAAATTCAGTTCCTGAATCTTACCAGGCTGTCCGTGTCTTCATCCAAAGAGAGATGCTCAGACAGGTGTTCTGAGTTCTTCTTTCTTTATCGGCATATTTGCCATTCCTACAAAAAAAATGTCTAGATTATGCCAGTGTCTGAAGATGACAAACAATTCCAAACACACTGTCATGTGTTGACTCACTGTAGAGTTTAAACGCCCGTGCATCACAATGCCTGACAGGGTACTAAAACTTTAATTTTCCCACAATGAACCTTATTTTCTTTGGCCAAGGTTTCTAAATTTTGCTTTATGAGTACTCTAATAAAAGGGCTGTTGCAATTAGTGTCAGTCATCCAAACACATGCTGTGACCCTAAATATCAGGAATGTCTGTCCCCCTCCTACCATTCGTTTTGCCAAGCTGTACTTATGTCCAGAAAGCTTCATTGTGTCTCTTTCTCAAATCAGCCTAAGTCCAAAGCAGACACATGTTTGGTGACTTAGGAGCTTGTGAGCTCTTCTTCCAAGACATGGTTGACGTGGAACTTCTGTGCTCATGGTAGCCTGTGCCTGGAATTCTGGTGGTTTCTCCTACAGTGCTCACTAGTCAGGCTCCTGCGGAAGTGTCTGTTTCTAAGATTCCCCAAGTCACCCTGTACCAGATTCCACATCAAGATCTGCATTTCTGTGCTTTAGTTTCCTGAGGATGACCTCTCACCTGGTCTGGCCACATTCAGTGTGTTTAGTATTTACTTCTACCCCTAGGTGCCCACACTTCCTTCAGCCTCTAATGGCTTTTGTAACCCTCACAGCCCTCACAGACACACCCCTGCACTGTGCCATCATCCTGAAGATTTGCAAAACTCTTTAAAGAAAAAGAACTCATTCTAAAACCACAGCATTACAGTGAAAAATAGTTTGTTCATATCAATTTCAGTGCTGTTGTGATTAATGAAAATGCAAATTACATTTTGTATGGATAGTTCTTCAAATAAATCAGGTCAACCTAACTTAATTCTACCAAATATAGCTAGCATGAAGAGAAAACAAGCCAGGCAGAGCTTATGAAGAGCAGATGCTATTAATGGTAAGGAAAGAAGTTATCAATGTTGCTTTAATCATAATTAGTGCCATTTAAAAGATCTACTAGTTAAGGGAAGGAAAGTATTCTGACAATGATATGGAATGAGAGAAACCACCATGTGTACCAGATTGGAATTTAAACTTTCTGCAAGGCACTCAGATGATAATGGAGTGGAGTCTTTGATGAAGTTTCTCCTTGCTTTCCTGGAAGAAAGGAAAAGGGGAGGATCTAAGAACGGTGAACAAAGGACTTCAAGTCATCCCGGCAACTGAAAGTGCCCAATTTTGGTTTATTTTTTCACTCCGAAATTTTCAAATAAGTGAAGACAGCCACAGATCTTTTGAATGAACACAACCACTTTTTGGAGACAAGCAAAACAATCCTTAGAGGAGATGCTGTTGCTCAACACACTAACACATTTTACTTGGCAAGTGAGAATGTTTGAAGCATATGTTTAATGTTTACTAACCAGTTTGCTACTTAAATGGACATTTTAACAGTCTGTCTGGGCTAAGAGGGAATTAACATTCCTCCTACACCATTGCTTTCCCAATGAGAAATCTAACATGATTTCATCTATAGTCTTCTGAATTAGGGCAAGAAATGATACTTTTTATACTGTATTTATTATATACAAAATACTAGAAAATAAATTTTATAATGTTTCACAAGTTTCTCAATGAAAGTCAAGAAGGTCACAACATATATTAATTTTCCAAATTTCATTTAACAGCCCTGATTTTTAGCTCAAATTATTTTTGTATTTTCAATCATGTTAATGTTTTGTTTTATTTGACATTTTTGGTTTTATATTTTTTATTGGCTTGATTTGGTTCATGGGAAGTGTTTGCTTGTTTGTTTAGCTATGTTCTTGTTATGTAGCCCCAGCTGGACGCAAATTTGTAGTCCTCCTGTCCCCCAGCCTCCTGAGTTTTGGGACAATAGGCATATCATGCCTAGATTAGATCACTTATTAATACACATTAATCATTTATATCCTTTCAAGTTGCTACTTTTCAGGCTATTTAGGATTTATTTAAGGAAAAGAAGATGATGAAACAAAAAGGGAAAAATTATTTCAGGTCCTGATATCATACAATCAATCTTTTGGTCAATTATTTGACCATAAAACAAATAGGTCATTTTTTCAACATATATGTCCTTATTTAAATGTATCTCCTAGTGTTTTCATTGATACTTATTTATACTTAATTTATTGAAATTTAATTGGCAGATCGTACCACACAAAAAAGTTTACTTCACTGGCTCAAGGGTAATAATAAGCATGAATAAGTGTTTGACAAGTTCCTAGAAGTCTTGCTATTCAGATATATTACTTTATTTCAAAATATCTGCCAGACAGTGCCTAGGCAGGGGGGAGAGAGAGAGAGAGAGAGAGAGAGAGAGAGAGAGAGAGAGAGAGAGAGGAATGAGGAATGGAGGAATATTTGAAAAAGAATGAAGTTTTTTAAGATAAGGTCTCATGATGTAGCTCAGACTGTCCTGGAACTCACTAACTCATGCTGGCCTTGCACTCCTCGTAATTCTCTCCTCATTCTCTCAGGGGCACCACACTCAGCTCACTGTCTTCACAAATGCACTTAATTTCCTGGTTTTAAAATGTCTTAAAACAGAAGCTTTTTATTTGAATCTTGAAACTATACTACATATCTACCTATAAAACCAAGTCTTATAATGTATAACTTGATGTTCAGATTGAAAGATTTAACATCACTCTTAGTTTAATTTAACAATCCAGAGAGCATATGTATAGTGTATCTCGTATGAGCTTACAAGCACTCACACTTCAGATCCATCACATATGCTAACTGTGCACCACAAGGCAACTGAAGATGACCCAAATGAGCCACCGTTTTCCTGACTGAAAAACAGGAACAGTAAAGCAAGCAGTTCATAGGACTTACAAACTGTGAAGGAGACACTGGATTTCTCATATAATCTGAGTACATGTGCTGGAGAGTTTTAATGACAGGTAAGAACATTAAAATTCTTTAATGTAAGTTAAAGATATAGTAACATTTTCAAAGAATGTCTCAAAATATAATTCAGGTTTTTTTCCTTAATTATCTTGATAAAAATATGGTTTTTACCTTTTATGCAACATCTGGAAACAGCAGGTTCCGAAAGCAACAAGGATCAGTAAAAGCAGCGGAATTGTCGGTATGATAACATAAATTAGATTGGGAATTATGCCTGCAAAAATAAAACAGTTTTAGTTTTCAATGATAGCTCATGAAGGAGCTCAAAAGCAGCTATGAACAAATTTCTGTAATGATTAAGGTAAAATAGAGTTGATACCAAAAAGTAAACTCCAAGTAGAAGAGCTTATGAAAAATGCATAGACACCTTGAAAAAACTTATAAATAAAACTTTAATGCCCTGGGTGACATGCTCAATTAAATATGCGTGCTTTTAAAGTTCTAATACATTTTCAGTTCAGACACGGACTAATTTTCATAACATGTTAATAATCTTAGCTGTCTCGTTTTATTCATTCTTCTGCATCATTGCAAAAGTGAAGACTTTATATTGTGGAATAATAATTACTATAATCATTGCTGATTTAGTAGATAATGAATTACCTTAGCCAATAAGCTCGTTGTCGTGAGAAAATGTAAGAATCTGGCCTTAAGTAAAAATAAGCACACACTAGGTGGTGATGCCGTCATAACCCAGAGACATAAGACTCTGTAGATAATAGCATGATTTAATTAAATTCTGAAAACAGGTCATCTTTTAACCCTGTTCTCTCACTCTCAGTGATGGCAGATGTTCTTAGTAGATTCTAAGGAAAATCACCAACACTCAAGACCTACAAATCATGAAATGACTTTTTTAGCTACACTTTTAATAAGAGGAAAATGTCTGTAGTTTAATTATTTTCTGGCAACTTTAATTGTGTTTAGATATTATGGATGATGTTAAAATCAGATACATGAAACAGAAAAAGCCCAACATCTTAAGAGCATTTCTGTATAAGGAAAACAAACTGAGTTCCATTTGGCTTGCAAACTAAAAGTTAGTTAACAATATCACAAATCTTAAAGATTCTGATAAAAGTTGGCCATAATTTATTCACCTCATTGTTTATTCTTCTCTTTCCTCAGCGGTATATTTTATGAGATTTAGGGATAGATTATTCAGAAGTTTGCTGCTGTTTAATACAATTTTTATTATTTTTATTTTTAAAAGAAAACAAACTTCTTTAATTTTACATACCAATCCCAGTTCACATGCTCTCCCCTTCTCCCCTTCCCTCAACCTAGCCCCCCACTCCAGCCCCCATCTACTCCTCAGAAAGGGTAAGGCATATTGCTTTGGGGAAGGTCCAAGGCCCTCCCTACTATATCATTTTTAATGCTTTTTATTCTAATAAAACCCACACTTCACTCTCCATTCCAAATTCTCACAAATCCCTCTACTTACTTCTTTCTTACTTCGTGTCGTTTGTGTGTGTGTGTGTGTGTGTGTGTGTGTGTGTGTGTGTGTGTCCTACATGCTTGTGACCATAGGGCTACAAGAGGATCAAAATGCAGAGAATAGTGATTGTGGAGTGCCTAGTCTTCCTTCTGAGCCTCTGTATGAGTTACTAATTTTGAAACATTTGGACCTTTGGATCAATATTCACAAAAGAAATATGATAATTTTTTTGTCCATCTGTATTTAGTTCATGTCAAAAAAGTAGTTTTAAGGAATATCGAGGAGTTTCTAGCTAACATGGATCTTGCACTGGGAATTGTGTTTTTCTACTCTGTCTTTTGGGGTGACAGCAAGATAGAGGGCCCACTATGTGAACCCCCTTCCAACATGTCCTATTGTGATATGGTGATAGTCTGAAATTGATCAGATAGAGGTATTTACACCAGAGAAGACTACATAAACTATAATGAGGCTTATGTTATACCTCCTCTCTACTGCCAGACAAGCCCTGAACATTCAGTAGCAAATTGCTATTCCAGGTCTCTATGTATATATGCTAGTATACATGGTACACACTACACTATATTGGGAAATGCTTTGTAGATACAGGTGTTAATGTTGATCACTTAGATACTTTCACCTGAAATGGAATTTTTAAAGGTTATTCTATTTAAAACGCATCATTGCGTAATTATTTCTAATGTAGGTCGAATATAAATGTCTATGGGCCCATAATTAATGCACCACATCCTTGAACCACGTGAAAGGTTTCCCTGGGGTCAACATGAAGTGCTAGTTCAAAGCCCATTTCTTTAGATGAGAGTGACAGAAGGGACTCACCTGCTTCAGTAACAACCACATTCTCATGCTTGTCTTCAGGTTGATTAGTAAGATTCGGCTTTTCAACAGGGTCTGTTGGCTGAATCTCTGTAAATAATTAACATAGAAATAATAAATAATAATTGAACTAGGAAAATGCAAATGTCAACAAAAAATGTTATTAAATGGTTTTTAAAAAAATGATTTGGATTTCTAAATAATTCACAGTCAAATATATACTGAGTTTAAATGTACATAGAATTAACCAACAATATTTAATTGTGTCTGTATATAACAGCCTATTTGATATATAACCCCAAGCTTCATATAGCAACCAAAACTGGTAGAGTGCTGAAGGCAGCCTGCTACAATCAGTAATGACTAAGGGACCCAAAGTTACAATGGTAAACAGTAATTTGTAAACCTAAGTGGTAAAACATAAAACATGATTCAAAAGAAAACAAAGGTAAACTTTTTATGAAATATCCTTTAGAGTGCAATAATAATTAACAGAGAGCTGCATTGTTGCTTGTGGAATTGCTGATTCAAGCAGCGTCTGAAAACTATGTCTGTGCTACCCAAATAATGACATTCTGAGATGTAAATTCCAATAGGGATACTCCTTTTATTAATATTAAGTCAAGATTTACAGGCTGTTTCTTTTCTAGCTTTATGTGATTAGATTTTTCAGTTCCCAAATGGGTGAGAAACTCTTGAGACTTCTTATCATGTTCTGGTACTATCAGTGAATATACTTTCCCCCTAAGAAACCAGTTGTTACATTAACAGGTTAGCCAAAGTAATTGTATTAGTTAGGCATGAATAGGTTACAAATCTTCCAGCTACCACACCTATCCACGTGAATGTGCTTCAGGGAAGCCCAATCGCATTGATAAGCAAGCCTACTGTGGTTTTGAAGCCTCCTTCCAACTACAAGGCTCCATCCCACGCCCCCAAACCTGAACCAGATAACCCTTATTTAGTGCCACACACTCAAACTCCTGGCACACAGGTTAGGCCACCTGCTGTGGTGCCCCAGGGGCTGGGAGAGCTCCAACCCTCTTATCTGGAAAGTTGTGACAGCAAGGAATTTCCTTTGTTTATCCTGAGCCAAAGTGATCCTCTCTCTTGTTTTGGTTCCTGAGGTACATACCATAACTCCTCTAATATTGCAGAAGTAAGTGGAATTGAAGGAGCTTTTTCTTCAGAACTCCTATATCACTCTAAATGGAGTTCTTCTTAGGGAACTGGAGGCAAATGAGGGTTTCCTTCTTCAGGAGCCCCATCATGGCATAAGACAGTCTCTTTCATAATGGAGTTCTTTGGTGGTAGGGAATTAAACTGCACTTTCCCTCTGTAAGTGTACACCATCCTTTTATTTCTAAGTTTAGTGGTTCATTATGATTCTGAAGTTATCTTGGGCTATATTTTGAGTTTCCAACTAGAAAGAGTCATAGAGTAAAACTCTGCCTCAAAAACAAACAAACAAGCGACAACAAAACCAAATGCAAATGTTTTAATTGCTCAAAAATTAGACACTTTACTCTTGTCATTGCATGCGTATAAAAAAAGCTACATAGAGCATTTTCTGTAGTCTTTGGAACATGAAAGTGTTTTAAAGAATTCTCACTGTTCACAATATCCTACAATCTGGATTCACTGGTAGTTTAACCACCCATCTTCATACAATTTTAAATTCCATACATTCTAAATTTAACTGATACTTTAAAATCTTCCTAATATGTAGCTATTTGTCTAAAGAATTTCATTAGTATATGAATGCAAGTGGTTGACTGATATTTTGAACCAATTATCAAGATATGATATTGGCAACAAACTACATCTAAAATATTTCTAACAAACTTCAATTAAAGTTTGTTTGTTTGATTGTTAATTAAATAAAAATGTAATAACTTAATCATATACATGCTATTTTATCTTTAAAAAGTTCTTAATGCAATGTTAATTTTTGAGTTAATCTATTTTGTGTGTAGCTAAGAGCATGAATGTCATGGTGTTTATGTGGAGGCTAGTAGACAGCTTAAGGGAGTAGGTTTTCTCCTTCTACCATATAAATCTCTGGGAATGAACTCAGTTCTCAGACTTGGAACCAAATGTCTTTCTCTGCTGGATCATGCCATTAGCCCCAAAAGGCAAGTTTCACAGAAAACTAACACTTAGAAGTGTTGCCATAAAAATGGGTACCAGTGGACCAAAAGACTATTTGTGTGTTTCAGTAGAGAAGGACAACATAAAATTGAATGATCTCATTTAATAACCAGGGTAAATATTTAACATTTTCAACATCATTGATCATGCTATTAGATAGTATATGGGAGTATACATATTAAAGTAAATAATACATTTCAAACTGATCGTGTGTATAATACATAAATAATACATACATATTACATAGCTACACTCATCCCTCTAACCCTCTAATTAATAAATGCCAAGAGTTGCAGCAAGTGTAAAACATCACAGAACTTTAACTGTATTTCTCTAAGACACAATCAGAAAGAGTGGAATTTAACAACAGACTTAGCTTTGCAAAAGCTTCCAGGAGTGTAATCACAGATTTAGCAACCAAGGGCAAAGAATAAACTCACCAAGGATATAAAAAGTTGGCTAATATACTCAAGAGCAGAATAAACATAAGAGAAGGGTAAATCTAATCCAATAATCCCTTGTGCTTCATGGCTTTATGAAAAAAAGAAACTGTGTAATTTCAAAAGAGTAATGGAACATGGGTACTTGGATGTAATTGCCTTCTATGGGAACATATTATGAGGTCACGCTGACAGTCCTTCAGAAAAGTTAAAATGACCCTTTCAAACATTGTGGAGAAAAATCGAAAAATAAGTGTGTCAAGGCTTAAGCATCTATCTTGAGTGTCTAAGATGATCAAATATATAAATTTACACATCTTTGATTAGTCCTTCTTGTAGTTTAAATCCCAATTCAATTGAGGTGTCTCATTAAAGTAACTCAATTTCACTACATTCAGTGGGAAGCCACACTAATGTGACTTAGGTCAAAGTAATTTTCCCAGTGGTTGCGTATGTCAAGTAACAGAATATTTCAAAAGAAAACTAACAAAAGTGTCATTTTTCAAAAGATGCAAATCAAATGAAGAATGTGTAATGTGACCTTACTCTTTTAAACTACTGAGAAGGGACTGAAACTCAGCTAAAGAACCAAATGGAAAACATTATGCTACAACGTGTTGAAATAATATGCCTGGAGAAAGCTGTTTGCTCCCCTAAACTCGACAGGAATGAGCAAAGGAGCCGTCGCTCACACGTGTGCAAGCCTATAAGCACTTTGGTAGCCTATAACTACTTTCCACACAGTCTCATTAAGCTTCTAAGATATTTTCACACAGACATGTACAAAGCATGATTACAATAACACAGTGTGGTTCATGTATAAATTATTTTCTCTTGAATACGCCTCTCCCCAAAAATGTATCTTCCCATTCCTTTCCATGAAACACACTGGCAGTCTTGCTCTTCTACAAACAATGTGCTTCAGTACATTAACAGAGCAAGCTGTGAGGTGATGTCTGTTTCTCCGGTATCTAGAGAACGGCTGGAAACCTTAAACACGGGGCCTTCTATGGCAAACATGCACAGAATCGGTTAGAGCTACAGAGGCCTCTTACCAGGTTCGTACTTGCAGATGTAATTGTGCTTCATGTTGCACCTGTCGTCATTCCACTGGTAAAGGTAGGGACCTCCGAGACCAGGATTGGCCGTTGGCTGATGATACATGACAACACACTTTTCGCTTCCACATGAAGGTTCATCGGTGTACCAGTTCCTACAAATATAGAACCAAAGGGACACTTAGCAACATGTGCTCTGAGTGTCCCAGGTATCAGGGCTTTTCTTTTGCCCTTCCGACTTCTCTGGGGCATCAATAAACACTTCAGGGTCCAGTCACAGCTTACCTGAACTGGGAGCTGCTTCCATCAGACCACTGATAGAGATCTGGGCAGGCACCAGAATTATGGCCATCTCCACTTCTCAAAAGTCCGATCCAGAAGTCACCATCTGAAATCCCGGTTCCAGGTTTCGTCAGGTTCTGCAACATGCTCTCTATTAACTTCTGTTCAGCCTCGTTCTCAAGACTGAGGAGGACACCTCCTTCACTTTCACAAGCCAGGCGCGCTTCCTGGAAGCTCACTCGGCTAGACAGTTCATGGAAGTAGGCCATTTTGTAGCAGGGATGTTTCACATCAGCGAAACACACCTTTTGACCTAAAACAAACAAACAAACAAGATATAGATAAACAGGTCTTGAGGTCTTTATTCATAAGTTTGATATTAACTATAATAAAAGAACAATTCATAATAAAAAACACTATCAAGAATTCAGGCGATGAAAGGAGACAGAGACAGAGACCCACATTGGAGCACCGGACAGAAATCTCAGCCAGCTGGCCTGGATCTGAAAAAGCCTGGGATAAAACCGGACTCGATGAACATAGTGGACAATGAGGACTACTGAGAACTCAAGAACAATGGCAATGGGTGTTTGATCCTACTGCACGAACTGGCTTTGTGGGAGCCTAGGCAGTTTGGATGCTCACCTTACTAGACCTGGATGGAGGTGGGTGGTCCTTGGACTTCCCACAGGGCAGGGAAACTTGATTGCTCTTTGGGCTAAGGAGGGAGGGGGACTTGATTAGGGGAGGGGGAGGGAAATGGGAGGCAGTGGCGGGGAAGAATAAGAAATCTTTAATAAATAAATAAAATTAAAAAAAAAAGAATTCTTTTCTCCAAGGTATGTCTATGAGTGTAATAGTGGCATGATAGTTACGGGAGTAAACAACTACCCTCTGATTAGACTTAAGTTCTGCCTCTCCAAGAAGAAAAGCATACCTGCTATTGCAAATCTGGTCAAGAACTGGAGAGCTCACAAGCCACAGGATGAACAACACATTTTCAAATTTTCCCTCTAAATTCATATCTTTCTACCCATAGATAAGTGCAACTCTCAAACTGCACCAGGACAGTTTCTTTGTGCAGTGCATGGTGGTTAGCACAGAAACTCACAACAGAATGTAAAGAATGAGTGACAAGAGGGTGCTCAGTCAGAAATAGGACATCTATATCAGACCCTCCTCCCCAAGGCTTAGGTACCATCATGGAAAGGATGTAGGAAGAATGTGAGAGCCAAATTTAAGGAGGACCAGAGCAAAGGCATGTGTTAGAGACAGGGCAGAATCACTATACTCATGAATTCACAGAAGGTGAGGTGCCTGCACAAGGTCTGCCCAAGATCAAGTCATTCAGCATTTTAACACAGTGGGGAGAATCTCATGAGGCTCTAAATCTGAGAAACTATGGACAATTGAGTTTCTTGGAGAAGTAGAGTCAGTTTTCTTTAATGGTGATGCTTCTAGCTTCTCAAATATGTTTGAGTAGATAGTCCCACTCACTCCAAGAAGTAGATGGATAGTACATATTAGAATTAATGAATTACTAATTTAAAAGAGAAGAGAATCTGAAGTTGGGAAAGAGAAGGATGGAGGGGAGTTAAGGAATTTGGCTAAATATGATTTAAAATGTATTGTATGATATTCTCAAAGAATTAACAAAAATATTTTATGAGTGCTTTCTCATTCAATAATATTGTAAAGTTTGCTTTTCTAGTCTACTACTTTTAGTTATAAAAGTGATGGAAGTTGGGAGATGCTGAAGGTTAGATTGCTTGCTGTTCAAGTATGAGGACCTGAGTTTTGACTCCCAACACCCACACCAAATATTTGACATCATCTTACGGTGTCTTTTTAATTTGTAGTCTATATGAAAGGTTGTCAGTTGTAGAAGGGGGAATCATGCTTAAATACTTTGATAAGTACAGAATTTACAGTGTGTCCTCTTAATTACAGGCCATCATGCTGAGCAACTATGTTACAACAAGAGTACAGCATTCCCCCAACTGCTGAAACTCAGTTTGTGATCGGGAATGACTTTCAAAGCAAGAGCAAACAGAAGGTGGCCAAAGACCATTAACCTCACAACAGATTTTTTTAAGTGATAAGCATTCAGGATCTTGACAAAAGCTGAAAACATAAATAGTTATTCCAGAAATGCAAAGCAGTCTGCTAAAAGGGATCTGAACTTAGGAGCTGCATACTGAAAAAAGTACAAACAACTTAATATATAGTCTAAACCGAATTTAACAAAAATGAACAAATCAGTAGAAATGGCCATGGGATATTAGCTAAAGAGGCTTTAGTAGGGCAAATAATCTGAAATAATCATTTCAGGAAGCAGTGGAAATCCCAATGCTTAGTTCGAATATAAATCACATATAAATTTGAAATTTTACTCTTGTTTATTATTAGGTTTTGTGATGTTTTCGTTGTTTAAAATAGTTGTTCCTTGTAAAATTCCAATGATTATTACAAGCCTACATTTTATTATTCTCTTTAAGAAGCAAGTTCGCATCCTATTTTGATCTGGTACATCCTCTACATATTTCTAAGTTTCCAAATATATCTTAGCTACATTCCCCTGAGTTTTCAAGATTCCAGTTTTCACCCCTAAGACATTTAGCTCTGTATTTCACTTAAGCATTTTTATTTAACACTGTTTTTATTTTTTAAGATTACTTTGGAAAATCTTAGTGGAAAGAAAAACAGAATAACAGGATGTTTTTGGTGAGTAGCTTGTATTTATATGTAACAAAAGCAGGGCACCTTAAGAGACTGCCTGGGTATAATTTATATGTTAAAATGCACTACTTATAATCTTTGACATATTAAAAGATAAGTTGACCTCTAGTTTATACATGATGAAGGTATACAATATGATTGAAATTTATTCATTTATAAAAGTAAGATAGCACTTACAGTAAAATGCATAGAATGTTCTCAATATAATGTAAAAATTCCTAATCCTATTATGTTATATTGCAAAAAAAAACATAAGTAATGATGCCTAAATAAAGAATTGCATTTCAAGTAATTCACAACTAATGCTACATGGGCCTAGGAAAAATCGCCAACCTTGGCACTCTATACCAGGCAATCTTTCCCTTTAGATGAAGTGAGTAGTCCACGATTTCAATAAATGAACAGAGATGATGATGGCTGCAGAAAAGAGAGCATCTGAGGTGCTGAAGACAGAAGCCTTTTATCAGCTGGAACAGATCTGTTAACCCCAAAGGACATTCGGCGAGTATCCGCTGAGTCTTCATGTTTGAACTCAAGAGCTACTACCAGGTCAGGGAGAGCAAAGCAGTTTCCAAGAAATTATAAGCACACTGCACAATTATTATGGCTCGCATAGAATCAGTTCCTGCTGACTCGGTGAATACCTTTATATATAAGTCTGCTTTACTACTGCTTTCTACCTTACTGTGCGCATTTGGCCCAAGCAGCAGCAAAATGAGCAGAAGCTGGAGCTACTGAGCTTGTTGTTGCACTTCAGCTGATCCCATTTGGCTGTGCTCGCACTGGAACTTGAACAGCTGGGAAACAAATGGTGCCCTGCTTCCCAGACAAGTTCTGCTAATGCAGATCTTCTGATGTGACTTTTTCAACTCCCAGAAAAGCCAGCCCCCCCTAGAAAACAGTCATGATGACCTCCCTCTTCACCCTGGTTGATCACACAAAACGTTTCCACGACTTTTGTTTGTAAACATCATATTTTAATAAAATCTTTCAGAAATATTTTATGGGGAGGACAATTTTTCTTTAAGTCATACAGTGGTTTCTGCTACACTAAAGTTACATGCATACTGGCTAACTATAAAGAAGTCTCAATTCAGAATCTCAAGTTGAAAATTACGTAGTTTTTGGATTATCTACAAGGACTTTCCACTCCCAATTCTAGAAACATTGATAAAGGAGAAGTTCAACATAGCTTTGTTTACATACCTTTATAAAAATATTCCAGATGTGCACCTGGAACTAAATAATCTCCAAATCTAAGAAGTATTTACATTTTCTCAAGTAAATTTGCACAGAATTATAGAAAAAAAATATTCACCCCTCTGAGATTTGTCAGGGACCCACACTGAAACACAAGCCTAGATATGAACTTTTATTTACAGAGGATTTTTAGTAATAGCTATTAAACATTGCTACCATTATCACAACTAATATTCTGCTTTTATTTCAATAAATAAGGGTTTTAGTTTTTCATTGTTATAAAAAATCATAAATGTTGGCAAGATGAGTTTTATGGTTCACTTAATTGCAGAGTGCTCTACAGCTGGCATCCATTCTCTTACATGAAGAAAATCAAATCTGCAGCCATGGGTCACTTCAGGGATGATGGTGGCAGCAGTCTTTCGTCTTTATCCCTGCAAGAAACACCACTGGCTTTCTGAGAAGGAAGTGACCTCGTAGTCTACATCCTGATATTTGAAATAGATGTAAAGATTATAAGTGGAAAACCATCCATAATAAAGGTTTGTAATAATATGGCTTTGGAGTTTAAACAGCCAATCAGAAAGACGTACCTTGGGTCCAGCAGAACTATAGGTAATTGGAATAAAAAAAAAAAAACTTTCATGATCATTGTTTCTTTAAAAACTGACATAAGCTTGTCTCATGTTTCATAGAACTAATGATAATAATAGTCTGATATTGATTGATAATTTGAAATATGAGACCTCGCTTCCTGTAGAATTCACACCATTAGAGGAAGTGAGGAAACTGAATCTGCTGACATATAATTAAGGGGTTTTTCTTATCAGGTATTCAACTAGGAAAGTTGCCTTTGCCTCTGGAAAACTCAACTCAAGACACAAGGCTTACCAAGCTGCCTCTCCCTCTCCCCCTGCCATATACACAAGGTACTAATTACATCAGTACCTTTCAACTCTCTAAGCCAATGTATGATGTATATTTCCTTTCCCCATATTTAAAATGAAAAGGGAGGACATAGACAAAGTTTAAAACTCTGTCCGCGTTCACACAGATCATAATTGTAAACAGGTTTGGAACCAAGCTCACTAATTCTGCTGCCCATTTCCATGATGTCTATACTTCCTCACACGTGTCTCAAGCAATAGGATGCTAAAAGGCTTTGTGAATAAAGGGGCTGATAAACGTGCATGCCATGAATCTATTCTGGATTAGAGACATTGATCTAATATAGCTATCAGTTGGTTATTGATTGCTGGTATAAGCAAAGGATTGTGTATTGAGAACTTGTTTTTGACTGTGCATTTTCCATGTTGAATAATAGGAGCAGAGTTCATTTCAGGGTACTTATATCTCTGCATATTACATATGTATATATATGTGTGTGTGTATGTATGTATATATGTACATATATGTGTGTACATGCGTATATGTGTGTATGTATGTCTCATCTGTTCTTTTATTTTCTCAATAGAACAATTAAAGCCTAAACTGAGTGTCATCTCAAATACAAAAACTGTCACTATGATAAGCACATCGTGGTGTGCTGTGCCATCAGTAGTACATAAGACTGTTTTTTTAGAAAGTTCACCTCACAGTTGTTTATATGACTGTTCCTGTACATGAAGATCTAGCACAGAAAAGAAATGTATGCAGTAAAAATTCCTAACAAAGCATCAGCTGTAGTTCCCCTTCCAGAACCCTTTTAAAATTGCAGATCCTGTTTTAGCATTAATGTATAGATAGTGCCACCATATAAGAATGATGAGCAGCCACTAAGGAATAATGCCTTGATAAATGGGTAGTTTATTAAATGCCTAGTAATAAGATTAATTTGCTCCCTTCTTGCCCAGCGGATACTTAAAGTAATTGCATCTTTGCAACCTGCACTGTCATCATTTTCTGTTTTGATGATGTCATAGGACTTTTCTATAAGCTAGAATATGCTCTGTAGTTTCACTTGTATCTTCCTTACTATTAAATTACTTTTTAAATATTCTATGTTCTCTCCATGACAAAAAGAAAAATCTGCATGGAATTGATTCCACTGGCTAGATCTCTCTACAGTGAGCTTTTAATTCTCTGCTAAATTATGAACAAAAGGGACTTACAGTCAGCGACTCAAAACATACTGGTAAAAGTGGAGAGTGATTGGTTAATTGTATATTTAGAAACTATGCCCGACTCCATGAAGCACATGAATTGCTATAAGGAAGTCAGTAGCAGGCCAAATAGCTCTGTTTCTAAAGCTCCATTCCCTTAGTCCCTAAAGTGTATCTCAGTTGTAGTAGAATTAAAACTGTATATATAAGATATTTCTGGAGACATTTGAGGAGTGCCTTGAATATGGTTAATGCCACATTGCAGCACGAGCTCGTTGGGGACTAGTGCTCCAAACTCTTTAAAAAAAAAGAAGAAAAAGCAAACATTTCATTAAAATATTTCAAAAGCTTTGAAATAAAATGTCACTTTGTTTTCAAACATATTTTCCCAAACTAGAGTCCTCAATTTTAACCACTTATTTTTATTTTAAACCATAATGAAAAAAATCTCAAACTTTGTCAGAAGCATAATGCCATTACCAGCCAGAGAGTTTCTGAACTGAATAATTAAAAGGATGCAACAGATGTTCTTCACTGTTCTTCAGTGTGGAGTAAGAAATCACCATACAATTCAGATCCTCAAATTAGTTTCCCATTGCGACCCACAAATTAAGTAAATACACTGATTATTACCACCAGAGTTCTTGATTATTATCATCAGATTATTATCATTGAATATTATAATTATTCTCTGTGTGTCTCTCTGAACTGCCTTGTTACATTGGACACTGTTAAATCTTATGTAGATCAGCTGACGGTGAAGTTGTTAGAAGTGTGTTTATCCTTAAACAATCTTCATCTTAAAATGATGCGTTTAAAAGCATTAGAATGCACCTTCTTAAATTTTTTGAGACATGAAAAAATATATCTGGAGGTTTAGTTTGTCAGTGTCTGTCTTTGGGGCATATGATGGGTAAGAGATTATTTGCTATTACACAAGAATGGTGAATTGTTGTCTTCAAATGTAATAAACAGTCATTGTTTTTATGTGTTCTAAGTATGTTCCAAATAACAGAAAGCAGAGAAGCTGTTCCCATTCTCTTCAGACACTTGAGGACAGACTGGACCCCTGGTCCCTAGTGGTATCAAATGGTTGCTGCACAATGCAGAATAAGTAACAACAGACTGACAGTGTACATGTTAGGAAATATTGCTTCAAAAATAACAGATTCTAGGCTGCTCTCTGCTCAGCCCATCACAGCTAAAATTATTCAAAACCTATGATTCATAAATCAGTTTATAGATAGACATCAATGTGAGGACAATCAAATTATTCATAAAAAAACATAACTAAATAATTGTTCTAAATCTCAAGTCAACATCATCATTTACACTAAATCAAATAAATCATGCTCAGTTACTCAGAAATTTTCCAGATGTCATCCACAAGATGCCTACGAATTGCTAAAGAAAAGCATAGCCAAAGTTTTGGAATAATTTATGCAGAAATACAATGAAAATTAAACTCTTCATCAACAAAGGACTTGAGTTCTGTTTTCTACCCTCAATATGCCCCTTCCCTCTTGGAACTTTAAAGCATATAAGTAAGAATCCAACAAAGAAACATTGTTTAAGTCAGTGGGATGCTTCTGTTTGTTTGGAAATGCCATATATTCAAAGCATAGCCTCTCCTTCATTTATTTGCACGAAAAAATTCTTGAAAACAAAGGTAGTGAAATATGTGGTTGGCTCCACCAGTTAGATCTCCATGCAGTTCTTTATTCTCTGCTAACCTGGGGAGGGAAAGGATTTAAACTCATAGGCTCTGAATATCCTGTGGAGACTAATTGCTTACCTGTATATTTAAGGACTGTATCTGACTGGCTGACATACATGAACTGCTGAGCTCAGAGGCAGGCTTAAATAAGCTAGATCCTAAAGAAGTGTTTTCTAAACTCTAAGTTGCTGCCGTCTTGCATCTATCAGTGACACCTATTGGGCAGATGGACGAGCTTTCTGCGGACCACGTTTGCCTTGTATGTGAGAGGCAAACACTTTACCCTTAAAACACTGCTCTCCCGCATTCACCAAACTCGCTGCAGCAGCTTGATGGACGTATTAAGAGCTTTCTCTATGGGTAACTGTACAGCTGCCATGCGCAGTGCTCTTCACATTCATCTCAGTCCCTGGACACTCTATACCCTTAGGAGACTTCCCCAAACTAAAGGAGGTGAATTGTTCAATGATTAGACTACAGACGCTGAAAAAAAAAAACAATCAAACAAACAAACAAAACAAAAAAAAAAAAAGAGAAAGAAACCTAGGAAGCTTGGTAATTTTGACTTATTTCCCATGTACTGATTTGAGAAACTTAATTATGCATCTGTAAGATGCACAGACCCAAATTCGTTACCAAGTACCCCTCAAACTGAACTTCGACCCAACTCTAGTTGACTGTTTCCTGAGTTGGTTAACTAACTAGGAACTAGGAATGTAATGTGCAAAAAAAGAAAAGCGAGAGTCCAGTGACTCTCCCCAGTTCTTTGCAGGTCCTCCTGAGAACAAAGGCTGCAAACTCAGACATCTACTAGGCTGGTCTCAGAAACCACCCCTGTGAGCACCCTGGCTGGACTGGAACCAGACCAACAGGAGGTGGCATTCATACTGCAGCTCTTTAGCTTCCATGCTCTGTCTGCCTAGCCCTACCACACCCCTTTCGCAGGTGCCCAACCCTGCCTGCCTGTTATCCACTCCCTGTCACCCAAAGAAAGTGAAAACCGGTGCCTGAAAGAGAATATGCTGCGCTGCTCCGATTTAGCTAGAGCTCGCTTCGCAGTTATAGAAGGCGCTTCAAAAAAACAAAGAACTTAAACTTTCTGGTTTGCGGAGAGAAGGTGAAAGAAAAAAAAAAAAAGGATAAAATGTTTTTCACCATCTCTCTAGTCGTCCTACTCAGTACAGTTTTCCAACTCTCTGAGGAGTTCCCACCCTGCTGCAGATTGCCCCTTACAGCCCCAGAGTCCCAAATCCCTTGTCTTCTGCTGGATGGACAGTACCCCTGCCCTGACTCACCGCTGACCACCCGTCTGGCAAAGGCTCCGTGGCCACAGAGCAGCGCAACTCCCAGCAGCAGCGAGACTATGCGGATCATGGTGCCGAGGCTTCTGCAGCAGGTGTCCAGTGGAGTAAAGGCGGCGTCCTCCCGTCCTCCCGCAGCACAGTCAGTCACTGGAGGCTCTAACCGGCAGCCTCCTCGCTTTCCTGCTGGGTACTACTCCCTCCTTCCCAGCACTGCAGCTAGGATCCCTATAAGCATCGCTTTCAGTGGGGACCTGCTGCCAGGCTGCCCCGTGCGGCACTGCTCTGGAGCGCAGGAGTCTGTGGGCGTGTGTCTGGGGGCAGGGGAGAGCGTTCGGGATTCCTGTGTCTGTCTCTATTGCAAAGGTGAACCAGGATCCCTAGCGCAGACCTAAGCAGCCTCCTTAACTTCCCTCTAAGGTCTCTGTGTCCTAAGGGGCTAAGCGGGTGTACCGTGGTCCTGGCTCCGGCAGCAGCAACAGCAGCTCTGTCTGTGCTGGCTGCAGCGTCTTATATACACACAGAGCCTGGGGTTCCAACCCCTAGCTACTAATCATTTTAACTACTTCGTCTCTCCTGCCAAGCAAAGCATCTGGCCCCTCCCCTAAAAACTGGATCCACTTTGAAAAGAGTGCAGTCAGCAGTGCCTCCTCCTCCACTCCCCTGATCCCCACCCCTTTCCCATTTGCCAACAGACTTCAATACTCATTCGTGTAAAATGTGACAGCTTTGCTATTAAACTCTCGCAAAAGTTGGCTCCATTTGGTTTTCTCAAAGATAAATGTCCACGGGGATGCCAAGTTGCAGGGCCTTTCTCTTTTTCTGCAAAATTGCTTGATCATATGTATGGAGAGATGCAGGGGCACTAGCCACTATTTAAGATGGATTGGCAGAGGGGGAGCCAAAACCTGCTCAGTGAATTATATAATGTGGCGGCTTTTCCTCCACCTAGCTTCTGCAAACAGATTATTTCCAAACAGGTTGCTTGACTAAATTGCCACAGAAGCAAATTGAAAAGAATCTTGGAAACAAGTTTTCTCTCAACTGATTTCAAGCTCAGTGTTCACAACTCCAGAAGGAGAAAAAAAAAAAGATCAAGACAAAATAAATATACTGAATTGTTGGGAACTTCATGGATGTAAAATGAATGTATTTCTTTGGATTCTTCTATCAGTGCTATATGGTTTCCATTAGATGTAAGTCTCACTTTAAGGAATATACACCTTTCCAAACCTGATCCCCTCTTCTCTAATAGGTCAATGACTGGTTACCTCTTTCGTGGAGTCCAGGGAAGTTCATGAGAGTTCTCATAAACACACACACACACACACACACACACACTCATATCTGAATATGAATAAACAGAAAAAGGAACACCAATAATTATAATCAGGTTCCCAAAATAAGGTTCAGTAGAATTAGCATTTTTATGTTGCTTTTTATCATAATTAATTTTCGATTTTTTAAAGCTTTGTTTTTTTCATGCATACACATGTGTGTTTGTGTGTGTGTGTGTGTGTGATTACATATGTGAAGGCTCAAAGTTGCGAATCTCCCTTAATTTTTTTTTCATCTTATTCACTGTCTCACGCTGAAACCCAGATCTTGTCCACATGACCCTGCCTCCTTAGCCTGCTTGCTTAGAGGTCCCCATCTCCACCTTCAGAGACTGGATCATAGGAGAGACATAGCAGCCGCCTGATGCTTATGTGAGTTTGGGGAATCTTAACTCCTACCCTTCTGCTTAAGTGGCAAGTGTTTTAACTGTTGAGCCACTTCATCAGCACCCTTTATGTTGCTTAAATACACCAAGGTTTGTTAAATCGGATCATTTTCTGTTTTAATGGGCAACAGTTTCCTCGGTTTTCATACAAAATAAGGACAGTATCTATTGATTTTTTTAAAAAAGAACAGTATATACTACCACAATAAGAACCAGTTTCACAGAATTTCTGCAATTGGGAGGTCCTTACCTACTAACTCTGCTATACTAATGAAAACAGAATGAAAAGATAATTATGATGTATATGTATAAGTATATATTGTAAGGTATCACTTTGTCATTCTAGTTATTGACTGTGAATGCATTACCTTATTGTAGGGCAATGGGCAATTGATAAATGTTGATTTGATAGAGGTTCTATTGTTTTTATCACTTCTTCACGTCCTCAAGGAGGAGAGGCTATTAGGATTTTGAACAGAAGATGGGAAATAAAAATTTTAAAAATCCAAAGTCATGACTTGTAGTGTGCCCCTGGAAATCATATCAGTGGAATAACTGACTGCAGCTTTGATCAAGGAGATGCCTGACAGACAAACAGTTCAGCATGAAGAGAGGACCAGTCCCTTAGATTCTACCTACTCTTGCAGTACTATGAATTGTAGTTTGGTTATCATTGACTACACAGCTAATACGAACATATAACTGAACCCATACTATAATTCTCTTCCATGAATGAATGAAAACACCACTAAAGTTAACAACTGAACTGTCACTTAGAACTGCTGGGTGACCAGTTTCTTTAAGAGAGTGACACTGGGCATATCAACCACTCCGGTACAGGCCTCATGTTCATAAGTAGTTGACCACCATATAATGGAATTCACAAATATTATTGTGTTTTTTATTTGATTACAGTTGGGTGTTTACTTTTATCATTTTTGGGTATGTTTTATTTCATTTTTTTTTTGGTTCAGGGTAGCTGCGTTGTTGTATTTGGTTGTGGTTTTTTTTAATATTTTTATGGTTTATTTAACTTTATTTTATGTGCATTGGTGTGAAGGTGTCAGATCCCCTGCAACTGGATTTTCAGACAGTTGTGAGCTGCCATGTGGGTGCTGGGAATTGAACCCCGATCCTCTGGAAAAGCAGTCAGTGCTCTTAACCACTGAGCCATCTCTCCAGCCCCTGGTTGTGTTTTTTTTTTTTTTTTTAAGAATAAGTTAAAATTGGGTAGATAGGGAGGCTCTTGAAGGACTTGAGGCAGGTAATGAATATGATTAAAATACATTTAAATTTAAGCTTTGTTTTAAATAATAAAAATAAAGTAACAACAAAAACTACCCCATAGAGAAGTATGGTTGCGCATGCCAATATTTCCAAAATCCTGGGAGAATAAGGCAGGAGGCTTCCCATAAGGTGAGGCCAGCCTGGGCAAAGTAGTAGAACCCATTTCAGGAAAAAATAAAAACTTGCAACAGAAAGGTTACACAGTTATTGGAGTTGGTAGAAAGCACAAGTTATTTTTAAAGAATTCTCTTAACAAATAGTGTTCACTCACTTCCTCTATAGATGCAAATAAGGGATAGTAAAAGAATAGACTTTTCATGGCAAACATCATTTAGTTCCTACTTACCCAAACAAAATTAGATATCTAAGTACCAGTATCGATAATAAGATTAAAGGCTTCTTTGAGAGCAAGCTAGAAGAAGAGTATTTGAGGAATTGTTTGTATACACGAAGAGCTGGGTCGGGTGAGCTGCAACCAAGGTGTGAATAACAATCAGGAGAGATTCATGAGATCTGGAAAAATAGAGCAATGATGTGAAAGTAGAAGGGGAACTACCGGGGAGAGAGATCATCTGGAAACAGTAGGAGACAAGAGAAAAGAAGAGAATATGATCCCACCTTATGCAGGAATGAAAATCTCATAATGAAATCAGTTATTTTCTGTAAAATTAATATATGCCAAATGGTGAAATTTCAAATGAGAACTGAAAAGTGAGTAGAGTGAAACCTCTAACACTGACCCAAAATCCAAAATGCAGCTTTCTCTTGAAACTCAAAAAGTGTATTCCCCCCCCAAAAAAATTTTTAAAAAAAAGTGTAGTCCCAGAGTTATCTCACCATGCTTCAGTGGCTTAAGAGAATCATAAACTATTTTCAGTCAAGTGTGACAAAATGAGTAAATTAGATGATATTGGGTTTGGTAACATCACAATTTTATCAATAAAGTTATCGTAGCTCCTTTTGGAGACGACAATGATCCTCTTTCTTATCTGGAGCACATATGAGCAAACCCTGCTGTGACAGAAGCAGAAGTGACTGTTTACACTTGTCCTGTACAAAAGCCACTGACCCTGAAGGAATGTCTAGAGTCCAGGTTATCTTTAGATAAGCTAATGGGTCAGATGCTCACGGCGAGTGCACAACTGAAAGTGAACGGGGAGAGGAGTAATTCATGCACTCATGAAATTCCTGAAGTATTTGTTTTTATAGGGCAATCTAGCAGGGCTTGAGGGTTCACAGTGCTGCTAGAAATGCAATGTAGAATTACAAAAGCAGGAGGATGCTTTTCTATCCCTTTAAGTTTAGTAATCATCAACTGTGTTCTAAATTATGACCATTCAGGTAATACTTTTTTTAAAAGTGTGGATCTCTACTAATGGAACATTTCTCATTAGAGCTGAAGAACTGGTCAATTTCAATTAAAGTCAACTTTAATTAAATATTCTTTTAGTAGCTCCTGATAGGTCAACCCTGCTGCAATGGATAACCCCACTCTCAGGCATATATAGAAATACATTTACTAGACCTGGATGGAGGTGGGTGGTCCTTGGACTTCCCACAGGGCAGAGAACCCTGATTGCTTTTTGGGCTGACAAGGGAGGGGGACTTGATTGGGGGAGGGGGAGGGAAAGGGGAGGCGGCGGTGGGGAAGAGACAGAAATCTTTAAGAAAGAAAGAAAGAAAGAAAGAAAGAAAGAAAGAAAGAAAGGAAGGAAGGAAGGAAGGAAGGAAGGAAGGAAGGAAGGAAGGAAGGAAGGAAGAAAGAAAGGTTTATTTAAATAGAAGGTGGGAAAAAAGTTGAGTGAAGCAGGAAGGTGGGAGCGGATCTGGGAGGAATTAGCAGGAGGGGTGGAGTAAATATGATCAAAATACATGCATGAGATTTTCAATACAGCTGCAAAAATAAAATAAATAAAAACAATTATGGTACTGTTATGAATCCAGAATGAATCAACGTTTTTACTCTAATTCTCTTATTACTAAATTTAGTTTTAATATACATTAACACAATAAAAGTGAAAAATCAAAACAAGAAGGCAAAAGTTTACCTCTGCCTTAGCTGCCTAGTTTTATTAGGTACATAATTGACAAGTTCCTTCATTATGATCAAACCTCCCTTCAACTCCCTCTAGTGTCCTTTACCCCATCACACACACTCCCAACTTTATTTCCTCTTTATAATGTATTGCTTTGTTATTAATAATGCTCTGAATCCAGCCAGATTTTTCTCTGTATGGTTGTGAAGTCATCCACTGGAGCGTGAGCAACCTGTAAGTTGGCACATTCGCAAAGGAAATGGGATTCCTTCCCTCAGTAGCTATCAGCCGTCAGTAGCTCCTTCCCCTGGAGTGGGACATTTGAGTCTTTGCTTATCCATGCTGGAATCCTGATTGGCTTCCTATTGGACAAGTGACCACACCTGCTGTGGGTTTCTGCACGTATGGAACTCTCAAAGTAACAAAAAGGATATGGTTGTATATAAAGTATACAACAATCAAGTTCAAAGACACAAGTGATGAAAAACCTCTTTGTTGT